CTAAATATAGTAATAAATCTTTTCCGATAAGTTCTTCGGGAGGAGCGTTAAGCTATAGGCCTAGAGCGTTAAGGTCTAGTCGGTCTAGCCGGTTACCTAGGCCCCCTAGGTCCGCTAGGTCCCCCTAGCTCCCTAGGCCTATAAGGGATCGAAGGACAGCTAGTCCTAAGCTCCCTAGATACTACCTAGAAGCTATCTAATATCGGTCTCTTTAACCCTAAAATCCGTGATAATAGTAAGGGCGTTGCGATAATCTCTAATATTACGAACTATAAAGATATCTATATCTTTATTAATAGGATAAAAGACCTTATCCCTACTAAATCGGAAGAAATCGTTTATTCTAATATTATATCCTATCTCCGCGGCTCCGCTCTCGGTTAGTATACCTCCTAGCTATCCGAACTCGAGAGAGCGGCCCTCCGCTCTAACCCTATCTATTTACCCGTTAGCTAGTTTAGTACCCTTAAAGCTAAGTTTAGACCCCCCTATTTAGAACTCCTCTATAGGTTTAACACTACAACCTACGCTAAGCGCGATATCCGAGCCGGTACCCTAGTACGTTACTACGTATAGCAAATATTACGCCTCGCCCGCGGCCTAGGCTATACCTCCTCCCGCGACTAGATAATCTAAATCCGCTAAGATCTAGAAGGCGACCTACGGCGCGATATACTAGTCCTATCCGACTCTACCACTATATCAGAGTTTATATCTAGCCTAGAACAGAAATATCTCGACTAGAAGGACGAAGTTAATAATAGGAGCCGTGCCTACCGTTAAGCCCTGTAATAGCGACCTCAAAGCTAGTTGCCCGGTTCCTACATAAGCACCTCTAGGCCTGCAAGCCACGCGCCGTAGCTGATCTTCCCCTCGAAGCTACTACCTACCTAGCAATATCGGCTATACCTATTATTAAGTCGACCCGCTAGGCCTAGCACGAGCTAGGCTACGCTTTTCGTAGCTAGCGATATGCTACCGTAGTAGTCGGACTAAATTCGAGAAACAACGTTACGATATACTACCTTAACTCTAGCTATATTATAACACTAATCGACTCCTAGCTCGCGAAATCCCTTAACGCGACTATCTAAGCTAACACACCTATCCCGGTCAGCGGTATAGGATTATAGTATATATCCTCCTCCTATATTAATCTAACCCTCCTATTTTTCGGACCTACCGCTATAGCTAAGCTAGCCGTAGAAGCCTACCTAGTAGATAGTCTCCGTGCTAAGCTTCTAGTTAGTATCGATATAATAGGCCTATATAGGTTTAAGCTAGACTTCGACCGACGTTAAGCGACGATCGCCGCCTACTAGGATATAAATTTCCCTATCAGCCTCTAGGCAAAGCCCTACTATATCCCTACTCGTCTAGTCTATACTACCTCTAAGGTTATTATTCCTCCGTATTCCCGAGCTAATATCCTAGTCCGTGTTAAGCAAGCGCTCCCGATAAGCCGAGACTTTGTTTTCGAGCCCTCCCCTACCGCGTATAATATATAGGTATCGCTTGTTAATTTAAACTTTTCGTTTATCCTAATAACTAACTATTTAGATAGCCGCTTAACCGTTTCCCGCCGAATACGTATCGGCACTCTTCAAGAAGCTAACTACGCGGAGGCCCTACAAGTTTCTACGGACGCTACCGCGTTAGCAACCGGCCCCTCTAAGCTAGCCTAAATATTACTGCCCCTACCCCCCGCTTATAAAACAGTCCTCCCTAACAGTATCACTATCTACGGTGCCCTATACGTCGTGCGCTAGCTCTAGGCCGTTATCGATGCCTACGATATCTAGGGCCACCCTTAAGTCGCAGATATCCCTATGGATTAGTAGGTAGCGAAGGAAGATATCGCCGCTGACGATCTTATCGCTGAGTTCGAAGCGAGTAGGCCCTCTAATTAATAATCTGTATTCCCTATGTTTATCCTATAAGCCTAAGCCCTATACCTCTTACCGATTCCTTACCTGATAACCTTACTTTATACCCTCACTTTATAACCTTACTTTATACCCGCTCCTATCTATCTTACTATCCTTACCCCCCTTCCTATTATCTTCAATATTAGTATCTTATCTTATTATTATTCTATTTTATTATTATCGTTTTCCCTATTATTATAATATAGTTATATCTACCCCGACCCCTAAGCGGCGCTGCTGTATAACTAATATATCTATAGTATCAACTAAGCCGGAAGGCTTACTAGCTAAGACACTATCTAAATCGAGACCTACCTATAACCGCGAGCTTACCGATACCCTATATATAGCTACCGATCTATAAGAGACCCGAGACTAGATTAACAAGTAGATCTAAGGGTAGAACTCTAAGCTACTAAAAGCGTCTACCCTCCCTCCCTATACCGCGATAATAATAACTACTATAGGTAAATACTAGCTGCCCCCTATAAGCGTTAAGCTCTTAGATAAATACGTCTATATAGTTACTAAATTCCTATCTGTTAAATAGAGGAAATAGTACGACTAGACCGAGGACTTTAATAACGCTAGTAAAATCCGTACCGACTATACCCTACTAGCTCTAAGCCCTCTCCTTATCGCCTTTAACGTCCTATTTATCCTAGTCTTCCGCGGATATTATATCCTCGCTAGTCCTTAAGCCGCTAAAAAGTACGGTATATCGTCTAATATTAAGAATAATACGACTACTAAGGCAGCCGGTACCGACTAGCTAGTCGGCCTAGTTATTACCTCCTAGGCGTTCGTTAACGAACTAAGGAATCTTATCTATATATACTATAATACTATAGGAGAAAGGGTAACTACTAAGCTAGGCGATCTAACCTTTATAGGCCTTATACTAAGCGAGAAAGACTAGCCCGTAACCCCTAGCCGCTATAATCGCGTCGTAAGAGGCAACTTTGATTTCTTACTCTAGTATAATAGAACCGCTCTCTATTTTATTAGTATAGCCGATTATCCCGACTATTACGTAAGCTCGAAGCTATAACCTATCTCTACGCTAGCTCTAAGCTAAGCCCCCGCCTATACTTAGCTAGACCCTATTAAGAACGCTCTCCTCGAATAAGCGCTTATCGAAGCCGATCCTACCCTATATAATATCTTCGACGAGGTCTACTAAGCTTAACGAACCTTCCCCGAGGCTATCGATATAAGCTACTACCCGACCCTAATTAGGAACCTATAGCTCTTTAGGAAAGCTCGAGCGGAAATTAAGAAGCTAGACTCCTACTACGCTACCTATCTCTAAGCCTAGATAGATATTTCCGCTAAGGTCGAGGGCCTCCGCCTAGCCGCGAAATAATTTATACTAGACCGCCTCTAGCCTCTTAAAGACTACCTAAAGACCCTTATAGTCCTAAAGCAAACCTACTAAGGCCCCGTAGGGATTCTATTACACCTCCTACTAAGCCCGGATATACTATAGCGGCTACTATCCCGTTTACCTACTCCGACGCCGATAGCTATAGACTTCGCGTATATAGAATATAACGGCCTAGTTCCCGACCCGGTCGATTAGATACTAGAATCTATACCCTAGCTATAAGCCTCTACCCCTCTCCCTAAGCTGACCGTCTAAGTATAACCTACTAAACCCCTTCCGTATATTTCTACCTCTACTACTACCCGGCTAGAGCCTCCTACCCCCCCGTCCGCCTATCTTTACTCTACTACCCCGTATACCTACTCCCCTAGCACCTATCTAAGAAGCTCTAGACCTACTCCCCTAAGCGGAAGCTATTCCCCCTCCGCTAGACTATCCTCCGCTACCGGGCTCCCCTATTCCCCCCCCTCTACTAGGCTCCGAGCTAGATAATAAAGCCCGCGAGGCTATACGAAAAGCAAATGAAGCCTAGGTAATTATTTAGGCCGATCCTGAAAGCTGATACTATTTTCATTACTTTTCCGTATCAGGGACGATGCTTTAAAAAAGGGTAGCATATATTACCCTCTAAGCTAGGTTAGGTAACCCGCAGTTCCTTCTTAGCTAGTCTTAGACAGAAACAATAGGATCACCTTTACATCTCCCGACTCTGTCACAGCACTTGATTTAAATGCTGTAAATTTTCATCTTGCTTATTACTATGCCCAAGCAAATTACTTGCTTTGGAGGAAAACATCTTCGATTTATATGAGTGCCAGAAGCCGTTTCTATCACCGCAAAAGTGCTCAGGTACTGTTTACATAAACAAAGCAAACCGGAACAGAATTTCATCTCATGACTCAATGGAAGCGTGGGAATGAATGGTGACCTAGAAAACCCGAGCCTGGGAGCTATGCTAATGCGTAAGTTGCCACCATAAAGGCGGCTGGCCCCAATGACTCGGAACGCTCGGGGTGTTATCGTCGGGTTTGAGTCAAGGTCCGGACAAATTCAAATGACACTCGGATAGTTGTTATCGTGACCCGAGGCTCATTGCACAGGCCATCGGCCGGGTCCGATGGATCGGTGTGGAGCAGCTTAACGGAATTGAGCCGGGCCATGCGTACTATCGGCATATCTCTAGAGTCCCGATCGAATCTCGGCTTGTTGAATTTAGGAGGCTTAAAGTCCCGATATTCCAATTTAACCTGTGAAATAGAAAATAAGCTTCTCGGGAAAGGAATTCCAGTGGCGATCTCCAGAAATTGGGGCGGAAGACAATGAAATCCGGGGGAACCGATTCTTTTTAGCTAATGTGATCCCGTTTACAGTTCGCCTGGGGAGGAAGCTCCACAATTCCCAAATTTTGCCTCAGTTCCCAAGTCCACAGTCATCGCCTTCGCCAATGAGCTCTGAATTTTCCACTCCAGGGTGGATAAACAACCCATCAGGTCCTGGTCCATCCAAGTTACTGTCCTACGGTGAGCGGAGATGTCCGTCAAAAGACCCCCAGAAAGAGGTCCTGACTGTATATAGTACAATGATTCAGCTTCACTGTGACATTCTTGGGCGAGAACTGCTTGCAGAAATTGCAACAGTCAGGAACCTTCGACAGCCGCGATTTTCTTTTATGCTCTGTGTCTCAAATGGCACCCTACTTTGGACTCCGGGGATCTGCCCTCAGTAGGGCTATAATCTGGCTCGTTGTTTGTCCGGCGTTTGTTACCTATGGTTATAATCAAGGAGTTATGGGAGGTCTTTTGACTCTAAAGTCATTTGCTGAGACATTCCCTCAGATCAACACCCTCACCACAACGGGGGTGGAGCAACAGCATAATTCCACCATTCAAGGTAAAACCTGCGCAAAGGCCGTGTCAAATCAAGAAAGAACAAACCCTTGGCACTTCTTATTTTCTGAAGCCGTTACTGATATGGTCATTCTTACAGGGACCGTGGTCGCACTATACACAGTCGGGGGGATGTTCGGCTCCCTTTCATGTATTCAATTGGGTGATATGCTAGGTCGGCGTCGTGTCATCTTCATCACATCGGGCATTTCAATAATTGGCGCTATTTTGATGGCAACGTCATATTCTCTTTCTCAATTCATCGTTGCCAGGCTCGTCCTTGGATACGGCACGGGCGGGTATGTAGCCACCGTACCTGTCTGGCAAGCAGAAATATCGAAGACGACAAAACGAGGTGCCCATGTGGTCACTGACGGGATTTTTATCGGTGCCGGCATCACGATTTCCCTTTGGATCGATTTTGGCTTCTATTTTGTCACCGGAAGCTCCGTCTCTTGGCGTTTTCCACTCGCCTTTCAAATCATTCTATCATTGATCGTCATGACATTTGTCATGATATTTCCTGAATCACCCAGGTGGCTTGTGAAAAAGGGACGTGTTGATGAAGCTCGCGCTATCCTGGCAGCCCTTGATGATACAGAGCCCGAGTCTGACCAGATCTCAATCGATATTCGGGACATTGAGATCTCTCTGGCACTTTCTGGGTCCGGATCATGGAAGGATATGTTGACTATGGGAGAGCAAAGACTATTCCACCGGACAATACTGGCAGCAATGGGTCAGATGTTTCAACAAATGTGTGGCATTAATCTAATCACATTCTATGCCACGACTATTTTTGAGCAGTACCTTAAGTTGAGCGCTGTTCAGTCGCGGATTTTGGCGGCGTCTATGTGTCTTACCCAACCACTAGGGGGATTCTTGGCTTATTTCACCATTGATCGCCTTGGTCGACGTCCTCTTATGCTATGGAGCGCCGTAGGCATGTCAATCTCTATGGCTATTCTGGCTGGGACAAATTCCCTTGAAGACAGCACGGGTGCAATGGTCGCCGCTGTCGTTTTTCTCTTTGTCTTTGAGTTCATCTTCACCGTCGGATATTCGGGATTGACTTTCTTATACGCAACGGAGGTGGCACCATTACAACTACGGGCGGCGATCAGTGCAGTTTCCACCACTGCTGTGTGGACTTTCAATTTCCTCCTGGCAGAAGTAACTCCGGTCGGGTTTGACACAATCTCGTACCGGTACTATATCATCTTCGCCGTTCTTAACGCTGTCATTGTGCCAATCGTGTACTTTTTCTTCCCCGAGACCAATGGCCGATCCCTGGAAGAAATCGATGAAATTTTCATCCAGTCTCGAAACATTTTCGATCCGCCTCGGATTGCTCGCACAATGCCCAAAATGCATGTCGGCGAGAGCTACGGCATCGAGATGACCCAGGGGCCAGATAGCGAGGAAGCCGGGACCAAAGTGACTAAGAGATAGAAAAACAAGGAATTGTGTAAACATGCCTAGAAATATCTAAGAGCAATGTCTCATCGTAGAACTGTCTCTTCTTTAAAGTTTCAATTTTTAATACAATGCTCGATTTGAGGATAATTCAAGTCACAGGTATTTTGAGCTGCCTAGCGGTGACACTGGCGTGCTTGGCGCTTTTGAACTGACAAGAAATGTTTCATGGCTGAGACCCTGACACTTGTTCGGACCGTGCCCCATATGGGAAGAAAATTCGTCGATCACCCGTGTCTATGGACTGAATATTCCGGAATTCTTAACATTAAACAAGGACTATACTTAATACAGTGCTTTGTTTCAACATGGTTCCAATATTGAACTTAGCCGCCCCTAACTGCCCCACTCCGTTTCGTTTTCAGAGGTCCCTTTAATTGGTAAGTTATTTAAGAAGGCTCTAATTCTGAAAATAGTTGAGTCGAAAGAAAAATCTTCTGCTGGAACATTTGGTAAATTGAGCTCATTCATACCTTTCGACAGGATGACAAAGTATCTGGCATGGATGACTACCTTTCCAGTCGCCGCGCTCTGCGGCGATATTTTGTGGAGTGGAATCTTCAATAGTTCGGCTACAGTAGCTGATTTTGATAAATGTAGGCCATTGCACTTGCTAGAAATTCCCCATGGCTTATTTTTGCTACCTAGGGTCTTGGTCAAATCAAATTGCACCATGGCAGTGGTATATTCATGGCACAGGATCCACGGATGAATATTTGGGACTTGCGGAAGAATATAAAAACCCTGCGGATACTAGTGATGCTCAAGGTATCCGAATAACCATTGTGAGTTTTGTGCTCTGAGCTAATTGACGCGAGTTCAGCGGTCTCCAGTCGAGCTGACTAGTATCAGGATGGAACTTCATTCTGGAATGGCCAGACAATGGAACGTAGTGAGCTCATCCCTCAGACATCTGAGGACCTGGGGAGTGGACGTCTTTTCTACCATTTTTCTTTGATGACCAACACGACCAACGCTCCAAATCCTGGATTTGAACACCAGATTGCCTTCTTCGAGGTAGAGCTTTGAAATATCCTATCAGATTATATCTTCGCACTAATAATCTTTATCATGCAGAGCCACTTCACAGAGTTGAAGTACGGTCTTCTAAGCGGCGCATCAGCCAGTGAGGACAACACCCTCCGATGGTGTGTTAGTGGAACGACAAAGTGGTCCGCAGACCTAGAAGCTGGAAATTGGTATAATTTCGCCTATGACATTGACTTTGATTCACAGACGGTCGGGCTGTGGGCATCAAATGGGTCAGATCCATTGACCTCGGTGGTAGCGGGTGTAAGCGCAACAACATCGACGAATTCTGCAGACTGGCACATTGGAGAACTACGGCTAGACAATGGAGGAACGAACGCACAGGCAGAGGACTGGTATTGGTCTGGTATCTTTGTGGAGAACGCACCGATTACCACTGCGATTGCTGGACCACTGGCGGAGTAGATGTGTCGAAGGTGCACCGTCAGATCTGTTGACCTAATGACACCTTTTACGTATGATCTCAAATTGAATTCCACAGCTCCAATTCGTTTCATATTGATATCAAATCAAAACATCCAGGATAAGGTCATTGTACATATACAGGCTGAGCCTGCTTAACGTTTTCTAAAACCTCAACCTCTTTTACTTTGCGGTCCGGAATAATAAGGAAAGAACTGATGAGATTCATTGAGTCATGGAACTAGATTAAAGATTTCTTTTTCAAGGCGGCTCTCTCAAATCAGCTCGTGGGTGGTTGTGAATTGAATTATGTACAATATTGCATTTACCGCACGCAGTATCCGCCATCAATGCGCAGATCATTGCCAGTCATGTAAGTACTGGCATCACTAACAAGGTAGACATAAGCGCCCTTGAGTTCTTTTGCCTGGCCATTCCGACCCATTGGGATCATGGAAAGCCACAAATCCTGGACTTTCTGGTCGACAAAATCCGAGAGACCGGTGTCAATGTAACCAGGAGAGATGCTGTTCACGCGGGCAAAGTCACGCCACTCGTTGGCCAGAGAACGAGCCATATGAATACAGCCCGCCTTTGCAACATTGTAGGAAGTCTGTTCTTGAGGGAAGTTGGCGATATGACCCGACATGGAAGATGTAATGACAAAGCTGCCAGTCCCGCGCTGCTTGAAGTGTGCCCCCACTGCCTTGGCGCAGTGGAATGTTCCTGTCAGGTCGGTTTGAATCACTTCGGTCCAGTCCTGTACGGTCCCATCCAGCACGCCACTGCTTGCAGTTCGCCCAGCGTTGGCAATGAAGGCGTCAATCTTGCCGAAATCCTTGATGACTGTGTTCACAAACTCTGACACGCTGTCCCAGCTCGAGACATCGCACTTGTAGGCCTTGACCTTGACTCCATACTGCTCTTGAAGCTCCTTGGCGTTTTTCTCGCCACCTGCAGCTCGAGAGGAATAGGTGATCGCCAAATCGGCACCCATTTCGGCGCATCCACGGGCGGCTTCGATGCCCATACCACGGGGGCCCGATGCGCCGGTGACGACAACCACCTTGCCCTTAAGGCTCAGAAGGTCCTTCAGACTATCGGCCTGGGGAACTGGAATAGGCATTGTGAAATAAGAATGTGAAGTTTAGATTCAAAGGTAATTGCGATTCGAGTAGTTGGAGGAAGATGGAAAGAATTTCGGTGAGGGAAAGGATGACGAGCGGGGAAATGGAGTGAAGTAAGCAGGAAGGCTATTTGAGTAAGAACCGGTGGACCAGTAATTGAATTAAATACCGATTCTGTGAATCAAATCCTTGTCCTGTGGCTTATATACACGTCCTGGTGGATGCTCGCCCTATGACCTAATGATGGAGTATCCCAGTTGCTGAGGGTGCCCCCGATACGTTGGTGCTCATGAGAACCTTCAGCGCCTGGCCATGTATTTTGAACCCTGTTCTATCCGGCTCCACAACCCCCCACTTTGGCTTTTGCGTAACGGGTCAGATTATGGAATTCCGGTTTGTACACGGCGAGGCCTGTTTGGATGGTCCTCAAGTGGAGCGGATGGCCGCGGAGGAGATGATGTCATCACTACTCATGCAATCCGGACTCGCGAAACACTATTGATCTCATCGGTTCTCGCGCTTCCTTCACAGAATTTTGATGATTTCTCCATTGGCCATTATTTAGGCCAATATTTATCAATATCTTTGGTATTTGAATTCTTACTGTTTACCTCCCATCATGATAAATCCGCGGTGCGATATTCAAGCGATTTTTGAGCCCGCAGCAATTTGTGCATTCATATTCAAGTCCATGAAAATAAAAATTAGAACATCACTTACATATTATTTGGAGGCTCCGTTCTCAGTAATGTTTAAACTGATGTCCAACGAAGTCAACGATCACGTCCCCGGTTGTCTTCTCCGCCGAGAATGCCTTATTGATTAGGAAGTCCATGATTTTCATCTCGGAAGGCCCCGCAGTTGAACATGACGAATAGACAAAGGGGGAAAATCCGGCTTGTTGTATAGAGAGTCGTTGACTCAGCGACTTTGACTTGTCCCCATATCAGCAAAGATATTTCCCAATTTCAAGAAATATGTTCTTAGATGATCCTCAGCAGCTGGATTTGAACTCCAATCAGAAGAAAAAGAATCATGCAACAGGATAGCCAGCCTCAATCAGGCACCGAGCCTCAAAATGAGCCAATACGCCGGTCTTCAACTGTGAGGACAACCAGCACGTTGCACCACAATGAATTTGACGACTCGTTCATATCAAGGTAGAGAGCCCTAGATATATATTTGGTAGAAAATCATCAGAAAACACGAAGAGTTGACCAAGCCCCAAACAGAGTTCGGTCCTTTTTCAATCGAGAAACCCATATTGGACACGTTGGTCGACATCCCCTGAGAGATAAGGAAAATGTCGAAATTCATACATGGGATGGTCCTGATGACCCAGAAAATCCGTGTGTCTTACGTGTTTGACCTCTTAAATCAAGGGAAGTATCACTGACTTGTATAGATTCAACTGGAGTAAATCGTACAAATGGGTTTTGACCTTAACCATTTGCTTTATGTGAGTCCAGCGAATACGATCCCGTCCCCAACAAAATCAGAATCCAAAGTTCATTATATGCATAGCTCGATCCTGACTGGACTGCCCGCCGGATCCTACGGGGCAGGAAACGTATGGATGGAACAACAATTTCATGTTCAAAATGAGCCATTTCCCAATTTAGCTTGGGCAACAACATCTTGGAATATGGGAGCTGCTTTCTGGCCTCTCATCTTCGTTCCACTGACAGAATCCTCAGGACGAATGCCTGGTTATTTTGTCTCGTACTTCATTCTGGTCATCTCCCTATTTCCATCGGCTTTTGCACAGAACTTTGCAACACTTGTGGTCACCAGATTTTTCGGCGGCGGTGCATCCTCGGTCTCAATTAATATTGTTGGTGGCAGTATCAGCGACGTCTGGTACGGCAACAAGGCCCGCAGTCTTCCAATGTCACTTTTTGGGTTCACCAGCGTAGTCGGGATTGCTCTAGGTCCCTTTATTGGAGGTGCGATTCAACAGATACATAAAAAGGACCCATGGAGATGGTAAGATAACATATTCCATTACAACAATCCACATGATTCTCTAGCTGATCATATTTAGGATCTTCTACATCCAAATCATTTATAATGCCGCCTTGATACCTGTTTTCTATCTCATTCTTCGTGAAACGAGGGGAGACGTTATTCTCAAAAAACGAGCCAAAAAGCTCCGGCATGAAACCGGTCGTCCGATTTATGCAGAAGCTGAGCTAAACACCACGAGCGTGTGGAAGCTTCTGCAAGTGTCATTCGAGCGTCCCACTAGAATGCTTCTCACTGAACCTGTCGTCATATTCTTCACATTGTGGGTCAGCTTTGCATGGGGCATTCTCTTTCTGTTCTTCTCCAGTGTAGGTCAGACATTCAGCAATAACTATGGCTGGGGAACTTTCACCACAGGTCTTGTTCAGCTAGCTATCTCTGTTGGCGCGGTGATTGGCACTGTCATCAACCCTTTGCAAGATTGGATTTACTTGCGCACTGCCCACACAAATCGGGAAAACCCCGGTCAACCAATTCCCGAGGCACGTCTGTATACATCTATACCTGGAAGTCTTCTCTTCGCGGGCGGCTTATTTTGGTACGGTTGGGGTAGCGTCGGGAACGGATCCATCCAGTGGATCGTGCCCACGCTCGGTATCGGCTGCACCGGTGTGGGGATTTACTCCATCTACATGGCCGTGGTCAACTATTTAACAGATGCTTACGAGAAATATGCGGCCTCAGCCTTATCCGCTGCCTCACTGGGACGAAACACATTTGGTGCATTTCTGCCACTTGCTTCATATCAGCTTTTTGATACCCTGGGCTACGGATGGGCTGGTTCATTGCTTGGATTTGTTGGAGTTGCACTGTCAGTTGTTCCAGTAGTTCTTGTTCTCAAGGGGCCGGAAATTCGCCGCCGAAGCCCCTTTATGCGGGAGTCGATGTTTGAGACCCATGATGAAACGATTGAACGACAGTACTCAGAAAAAACAGAGGTGTAGAATATCTTTGACTTGAAATATGATATTATGTTATTCAAGACTGTAAATTTGCTAACTATCGCATGATTATATCATCCCCATTTCATAGCTTATCATACTCCTCTCGTAAGAAATGGGACATTATCTTTACTACTACTCAGCTTCCTGCTTGCACCAATATTCGTAGCTTTTCACAGATAATTATAATGCTATCAGGCGTAGGGATAAATTGTTGGTGCGAAGTTTTCCAAGGAAAGGCCAAGTCTTGTTGTTGGATACCTGACTGCCGGTCCTCAGTTGATGTGTTATTTATCTTCTCACTTTCACCTTTTCTCGATGTTTATATCGCATTATGTTGATCTTCATCTCGCTTCCATATCAACCATACGAGAATAATGACGACTTTGAGAAATGCTGCAGTCCACAGAGCACCCATCAGGCCAACTGAGCTATGTGCCCACAGCCCTCCCAGGATGGTGCCAAATAATAAGCATATCACTGCTCCTATGCGACGCAGTTGGCTGGCATCACTAACGACTCTGGGCGATAGAAGATCAGGGTGCGAAAACAGATCGCAATAGATGCTCGTGAGAACAACGCTGGTCAATCCATTATGCTTGAGGACTCGACTAGTCACTGCTTGTCCACTGCTTTGGAAAGCCACTAATGCGATGGGGACAAGGACCAGCCAGCTCAATGGTGCGTCTCGAGCTGGCCGGAAAACGGTGACTATGCTGGCAGCGATGGCGATACAGAGAAATTGCACAAGGAACGAGGTACAGAGAACCCAACGTTGCCGCGGTGGAAAGATACGATGTAAGCTTGCAAAACAAAATGATCCCAGGCAGAATCCTGCGATTGAGACCCCCGATTTGATCCAACGGTCGTCATTGGTCCCGACGAGCCCAAGTGCGAAGTAGACCGTATTACCGGTTTGCATGCTCACAAATGAACCCCAGATGAAGACAGCCGAGCTATCTAATAAGCCTGTTATAACATAACAGAGCAGGAGAAGAAGGTCTCCGCGACGTGGATCGAGTTCATTTTGAAGATAATGAGATAGTTGTTGACGCGGTCGGGATGGGCTGTTACCTAACAGAGCATCCGATTCGTGTGACATGGCAACGCTTGGAGAGAGAAGAAAATCTGGCTCGTTGTAACTATCTGCTTATGAGAATCCAAAGAGACGTTGTCCAATAGATTTGAGTATGCTCATTAGTGTTCTTAGATTGTCAAGGGAAAGCCTGTACCGAGCCCTTTCTCGCGGCCAGCAAAATTTGTTTTCCCGGCAAATCTCCGGGCGTACAGTAACAGAGGTACGTCATTCTCCAGGCCTATTGGCCCGCGGGAGAAGAAGGATTCAAGCACGCCCCACTGAAATATGTTACTACTGTAGGAGACGACTTTGTTCAGAGCCAAACGATTGTGATCATGATCGGCCCGCAAATCGGCAGGAGTAGACTTTATAGGAGTACCGCTTGATATTGATATGACGTCATTTCCCTTCCGTAATATCTTTATGCTGGCCCTTGACCCTAATTCCTCACTATACATCGTTTACCCGTCCGTATTTGATAGTGCTGTTTTGCTTGGCCATTACAACTACTCGTAGTTAGGACGCATTCAAAGCCTAATTATTATACAGCCGGACCCAGGTCGGGACGGAGTGTTAGGGGAGGATTTTGCATATCTTGAAGATATCAAACAGAGAGTTGATAGCAAAGGCAATAAATTATGGCTGATGTCATGGGACCTCGAAGAAGACCACGGAATGAAGTCCAGCAGCTTCAACCTTTGGCTAACGTATTCCACAAGCGAGCTGCGCACACAAGCGAGCTGCGCACCCCACCAAAAACGCGTCTCCCATCTTCTACCTACCACCTTCCACCATACACTATGCCACCAAAACGTTCCGAAAAGCGCTCAAAATCGCCAGATAGGGAGGGTAGGATACTACTTGCTATCAAAGCTATTCAAAATGATACTACCCTATCTATACGAAAAGCAGCAGCGGTTTATAGCGTGCCAGAGAGCACGCTTCGAACGCGTATGAAGGGTGTTTCAAATCGCCAGGAAACACGCGCAAATAGTCATAAATTGACACAAGAAGAAGAAGATTCGCTTTGCCAGTGGATACTATCGCTAGACGCCCGAGGAGCGTCTCCTAGGCCTTCGCATATTCGAGATATGGCAAATCTTCTACTAGCAGCGCGCGGCGATACTACACCTACTACTATAGGTGTAAATTGGTCTTCTAATTATATTAAGCGGCGACCAGAGCTTTGCACACGATTCTCTAGACGCTACGACTATCAACGTGCGCAAAACGAAGATCCTACTAGCCTACGTGCGTGGTTTAGGCTAGTAGAGCGTACGATTCATGAAAACGGGATCCTTCCTAACGATATCTATAACTTTGATGAAACAGGCTTTGCAATAGGCTTGATATCTACTACTAGAATCGTTACACGGAAGGATCTATACGGTCGGAAGCCACTATTACAACCTGGAAATCGGGAGTAGGTAACAGTAATTGAATCTATATCGGCTACCGGCTTCTCGCTTCCGCCGTGTATAATATTCAAAGGGAAGGTATATATTGCTAGCTGGTTTGATAACCTTCCTAGCGACTGGCGATTCGAAATATCACCGAACGGTTGGACTACCGACGATATAGGCCTACGCTGGCTAGAAAAGCTCTTTATTCCAGCAACTACTAGTCGTACGCAAGGCAAATATCGCTTGTTAATATTAGACGGTCATGGAAGCTATCTAACACCACAATTCGACCAAATCTGCCAGCAAAATAACGTTATACCACTCTGTATGCCGCCGCATTCGTCACATCTTCTACAGCCGCTAGATATAGGATGTTTTGCTATCCTTAAACGCGCATACGGTCGCTTAATTGAGGCCCAAGCTCGCTTAGGATATAACTATATCGACAAGCTCGACTTCCTAGAATCCTATACCCTAGCACGCCAGGAAGCCTTCCTACCTAGCACTATACAATCAAGCTTCGCCAGCGCCGGCCTAGTTCCGCTAGATGCCGACCGAGTCCTATCGAAGCTTAATATATCGCTTCGAACACCTACACCTCCTACTACTACTAGTAGGCCTAGTAGTAGGAGTAGCGCTTTCGTGCCTACTACGCCACATACGATTAAGCAGCTTAGCAAGCAAGCTTCATCTATCAAAGCTCTACTACGCAAGCGCTCGCGGTCGCCAGGAAGCCCTACAGAAAGAGCGCTAGATTAATTAATTAAGGGGTGCCAATTAGCGATGCATAACGGAGCGCTTCTAGCACAGGAAGCTAGGGATTTACGCCAATTCAACGAGAAGAAGCGTCAAAAACGCACAAGGTCTACTCGCCAGATATCTAGGCAGCAAGGTTCTATGGTCGGCGAATCTATATCTCTAGTTTCAACGTTGCCAGCAAGCGTTGAAGCTATTCAAAACGATGATGCAGAGCTTCCTCAGCAGCCTACTAAGGGCGCTAAGCCTACTACTAAGCGTGTATTTCAATGTTCTGGATGTGGGAATATAGGGCATAAGATTACTCGGTGCCCTAGTAAATAGTTGAATTAAATATATGGCGTTTTGGTGGAAAAATAGTGTTTTCAAAAAGTAGTGGTTGGTAGGGTGCGCAGCTCGCTTGTGTGCGCAGCTCGCTTGTGGAATACGTTAGTGATTTCCATTTTAGTCCCTGGTACCCCTTCTCCTTCATTGTGGCAATAATTCCATCCAATGTCGTTGGAAAAAGAATCTGACGAAGAGAAGCAGCAAGCTGGTTCCATTCGTAAAACTTCCCACCAGCCGTGAATATCACTTCACTGCCAACCGGGTCGCACATGACGGGAATACATTTTCCGAGGTTGTACTCAACGCCGATCTGATACCCCCAACTGTCTTCTGGAGCCCAATCAGTCTCGTAGTCAAGTTTTTCTGGGTCCGTTGACCATCCTGGTGGAGGGCTAGTTTAAGATTCTCATTAGAATGATGTAATCATCCGTACGCAGTTGGGTCGACTGACGGGAGGTTTGGTAGTGGCCATTGCAAGTTCTAGGATGTGGTACTTGGTCAAAAATCTTTTGAAGAGATGGAACAAGATTTCGAATCTCAGAGTCGAGATGAATGTAGATGGAAAAACGTTGTCGTATGTGATGATCGCTGGACTCGCAAAGGATGACATACAAAATACACTATTAGGCTAGGTGTACCGCTGGACTCCAATATCACGTGACGTCTGTCCAGGGCGCATTTAGGAAGGTTTCGCTGATCTTTAAATAGCGAGATCGAGCTGCTACGGTCCACATAGGACATATTTTTTTTTTCAATCTAACCAGTTGACAGGGTACTCTAGGTGAATCTTCCCTTTGGCTGGGCTACGGAAAGGCGGAGCCGACACAATGTTGGTCGACGGGCTGGCGTGATAGTGACGGTGGAAACGGAGGGGAAGATCGCTCCGAAGATGAGAATTATGTTGAAAGATCCAGCCGTCCGTCTGTGCCTCAATTGTGTAGAAGACAAATCCGGCTCACGGTAGGGGCGCACATATGCTCCAGGTCGACCCGCCTCGATAGAGCGAGCGGATAGAACTACAGAGAATGTGCGGGTATCCCCGCACGCCCCACCAGGCCGGGGAGTCTCCGCCGTCAACGCGTCGCTGGGCGTCTTGGGGATGGCAGGGACTCGGGAGAACAATGTCCAGAGGCCCCATTGAAACGTGAGGTCAACCTAAAAAGATCAAAGTGGTAGACAACGTGGGTACTTAATGAGTAGCCGCCGCATGGTCTACTTCTGTTCGCTCTGCGTAGAGGTTACAGGCATAGATTTCTTTCTTTATTGACATTGTCTTTTTCCAAGGGTTCATAATGCCAGAGATATTCGATGTAGAGCATGTTTTAGCGAACATCAGCGAGCAGGACAAAATCGCCCTTTTATCCGGTAACACTGAGACGGTGATCTTTGGGAACTGTATTCGCTAACAAAAGCAGGAATTGATTTCTGGCACACCCATCCTATCCCCGAATTCAACGTCCCCTCGATACGTGCCACCGACGGTCCCAATGGTGTCCGGGGCACAAAATTCTTTGCCGGTGTCCCTGCCGCATGCCTGCCATGTGGCACAGCTCTGGGTGCCACCTGGGACCGAGATCTGATATACCAAGCGGGGAAGCTGTTGGGCGACGAGTGCATTGCAAAAGGGGCGCATTGTTGGCTGGGCCCAACAATTAACATACAACGCGCTCCTATCGGTGGCCGCGGGTTTGAATCGTTTGCGGAAGATCCACATCTATCGGGTATTCTGGCTAAATCGATCATCCTGGGGTGCGAAAGCAAAGGAGTTATTTCCACGGTCAAGCATTTTGTGGGCAATGACCAAGAACATGAGCGTCGGGCGGTGGATGTCCTGGTCACGCAGCGAGCCTTGCGCGAGATCTACCTACGACCCTTCCAGATTGTCGCGCGAGATGCAAACCCCGGCGGGCTCATGACCTCCTATAATAAGATCAATGGGAAGCATGTGGTGGAAGATGCGCGCATGCTCACACTAATCCGCGAGGAGTGGAAGTGGAACCCGTTGATTATGAGCGACTGGTACGGGACCTACACAACCATTGACTCCATCAATGCGGGACTTGACCTGGAAATGCCAGGAGTGTCTAGATATCGGGGAAAGTACATCGAGTCCGCTGTGCAGGCTCGACTGATCAAGCAATCGACTATCGATGCACGAGCGCGAAAGGTGTTGGAATTCGTGAAGCAAGCGAGTCAGGTTGAAGTGTCAAGAGTGGAGCGAGGCCGTGATTTTCCAGACGATAGAGCGTTGAATCGCAAGATCTGTGCGAACAGCATCGTCCTCCTCAAGAACGAAGGCATCTTGCCCCTTCCAAGACGGGAGATCAAAACGATCGCCCTGATCGGATCTCACATGAAGACTCCCGCAATATCGGGGGGTGGCAGTGCGTCGCTTGAGCCATATTACTCGGTCTCATTATACGATGCCTGCAGGGAAGCACTTCCTAATGCAGAGGTGCTCTATGAAGCGGGTGCATACACCCATAGGATGCTCCCTGTAATAGATCGTCTCCTGAACAATGCTGCCATTCAGTTCTACAACGAGCCGATGGGCAAGGAACGACGGTTGATTAGCACTGAGCCTGTAGCCACGACGGCCTTCCAGTTCATGGACTATTATGCCCCCGGTCTTAACCGAGGGCTCTTCTGGGCCACATTGATTGGCGACTTCGTGCCTGATACATCCGGGGTTTGGGACTTTGGTCTGAGCGTCTTTGGTACAGCAAATCTCTACATTGACGACGAGCTCGTGATCGATAACACCACGAGCCAGACGCGGGGAACCGCATTTTTCGGTAAAGGCACCGTTGAGGAGCTGGGGTCGAAGAATTTAGTTGCTGGAACTACATACAGGATTCGAATTGAGTTCGGCTCTGCCAACACTACCACAATGAAAACGGTGGGAATGGTGAATTTTGGAGGCGGTGCTGCAAATCTGGGGGCCTGCCTACGGAGGGACCGCGATGAAATGATCGAAAAAGCTGTGCAAATTGCTGCAGAGGCCGACTATACCATTCTTTGCACCGGGCTTAACAAAGACTGGGAATCTGAAGGGTTCGATCGCACGCATATGGATTTGCCGCCGGGAGTTGACCGGTTGATCTCGAAGGTCTTGGAGGCCGCCGCAGAAAAGACTGTGATCGTTAATCAGTCTGGTACGCCAGTCACTATGCCATGGGCCGATCATGCCCGGTGCATCATGCAGGCTTGGTACGGAGGTAACGAGACGGGTCATGGAATTGCCGATATCCTCTTCGGAGAGGTCAATCCATGCGCAAAGCTGCCCTTGTCCTGGCCGGTGGATGTGAAACACAACCCAGCCTACCTAAACTATGCCAGTGTGGGTGGTCGAGTGCTATACGGCGAGGACATCTATGGAGGTTATCGATTTTACGAGAAGACCGGACGAGAAGTCCTCTTCCCATTTGGGTGAGTTGATTTTCTCTTTTCCTAGTTTCATCTGACCATATCTCATCCGATTTTATTCTAGTCACGGCCTATCATACACGACCTTCAAGGTCTCACCGAGTGTTACTGTTGCCCCAGAGATCTTCAACATGGACTGTCCTGCGGTCGCCACCGTGCATATCAAAAACACGGGCAAAGTGGCGGGCGCTCAGATTCTCCAGCTGTACATCTCTGCCCCCGAATCCCCAACCCCGCGCCCAATCAAGGAACTGCACGGCTTCGAAAAAATATTCCTACAGCCTGGGGAAGAAAAGTCGGTTGGCATCCAGCTAGACCGATATGCGACCAGCTTCTGGGACGAGATCGAGGACATGTGGAAGAGCGAGCAAGGGACGTATGAAGTGTTGATTGGAACCTCTAGCCAGGAAGTGGTGGCTCGGGGCAACTTTCAGGTGGATCGCACCACATATTGGCGGGGACTCTAAAGACTCATTCATCCGGCTCTGTTCGGGTCATCCGCTCGGCTAAAAGAAGCCATCGGCTGTCTTGGCTTGATTGAGGGGATGATTCAGCCATCCTTCGCCTAGCCCATCACCAAATCCAGCATCGTCGTGTTTTTTTGCCATTACTAACACATCTTCCCTTGAGTATCCCTTGTCCGATTGCAGGAGGCCCCTGCAGGAAAAATGGACACTTCATCGACTGCGCGACCTCGTAAGCATACTCGGGTGCTCACAGCGTGCGATGCCTGTCGTCTCAGCAAGACTCGATGCGATTCGGCACGGCCAGTGTGTGCCAAGTGTATCCAGCGGGGTGTAGCGTGCGAGTATCCGGAGACGGATGCCATCTCAGTGTCGGTTCCCATAGAGCTTTTTCCATTAGCCGAGGCATCTAATGACCACCAATTCTATCTAAAGTCTAGAGACATGGGGCACAAGAATCCTAGACGCAGTAGAACGTCAAGAGCAGCTTCTGTCTGGGAGCCTTTCTTTGAATCGAGGGCCTGCTCTCTTTTCGCGAAAGGCGTCGCCATCTCCAGTGGACGAAGTAGATCCCGAGTCAATTTCGCGTAATGATGCACCCAAGACGCCAATCACCGGGTCGGACATGATTCTGAGCTGGCCTATTTTCCCCAAAGAGAAGCCTGTGTCGACTTTTCCAATGACAGCTTATTCTGAGAAGCCAGATCGGTTTCAGAAGGGTATCGTATTCCCGATGTATCACATCCCAGAATCGGATACTAATGGGCGGTTATAGCTTTACCAAGCTTAGATTCCCAAAGGCTTCTCGAATTGCGCGAGATTTTCATGACCAAAATCTGGACCAAGAACCCAATTGTTGATTCAGACCAGCTCGACTATTACATCGCTCGAGTACTGGAAAATGGCGTGGACTGGTCCGCCTCGTCATGCTTGGTGCTGCTTATCTTTGCGCTGGCTGCCATATGGGGGAACTATCCCGACGATGAAACCCGCGAGATCTCGTACAATGGACCATCCTTCGGTCCACCGGTCACTTGCGTGACGATGTCAGTTCCGGAGCACCGAATGAAGGAATCGCTGACCTTCCTCTCCATGGCGCGCAAGCGCATCTCCACTGCGTATCTCGACGATACCTTACTGGGAGTACAATGTCTTTGTTTATTCGGGTAAGATTTTTCCTTGCAGCTGCTTCGAAATACGAATGTCTAACTCCCACGTAGAATTTGGTATCAGTATAACATCGAGCCAATTCCGGGCTGGAAGATGTTCCGAGCAGCATCCATGCTATGGCAAACGTATCGCTTGAAGCACCGTGAGGGAAAGACTATTCGAAGTGCACAGGAAGAGAGTCGGTATTTTCAATCTCTACATTGCGGATATGTCTAACTTCTCCAGGTCTGGAGCAGCGACTCTACTGGACGTGCTTAAAGTCCGAATGGTAAATCATAACCACAGATCTCAAATCCTCACATTTTTAACTGACATGCAATAGTGAGGTTCGATATGAACTGACTGATCTCCCGCCCTGTGATCTCAGCCTCTCTGATTTTCCTTATTCTCTCCCGAGCTTTCCCACGAGGCAACCATCTAACGACAGCCCCGGGTGGACTTTTTCCAGCCCCTCATCCACAGACCTCGAAGCAGCATCTTCCTATTATTATCTAGCCGAGATATTCTTGCGCAGGCTTCTCAACCGAGCCCGCAATGCGGTCCGTGTGCTTTCCCCGAATATCGATTTGCCGACCATCAAAGTCCTGGTAGAAAGTCTGACGCAGCTGGAAGGTCAACTCCAGCAGTGGGTGGAGTGTCTCCCCCATACACTCCGGTTCAACATGCCTCTCAAATCCGCCCCAGGACCGAAGGAGGGTGAACTCATGAAACTAATCCGTGAGCGATACGTCGAGGTGCGCGAACTGCTCTGCCGCGCGTATCTATACCTGTGCATCCATGTACCACTCCAACCAGGGATGGCGGCACTTTATGGGGTCAAAGCGAGCGAAGCCCTACTTTTGGCAGTTTATCGCATCCAAAATGAGGTGCCATTCTTCCGGCATCCGGGGTCATGGGGAGCATGTCGAGTCCGGTTCAACCATGCGCTTTGCCTCATTGCGGGATTTCGCGCAAAACTGACGCAGCGCCCCTCGGCTAAATATGTGAGTATTCCTCCAGACTGGGCGGACTGTGTGCGGGTTGTGATAGAGCGGCTGAAGGTCTGGGGGTGAGGAGGGCGGCGGAATAAAGGAGTTAAGTATGTTGCTGGAGTGGCTGATACATGACAGTTTGGATTTGTGATCCCAGACCTACTTTTTGGGGGCATTTACACCAGGATACGGCCTGCCAGCCATCCTGGGCCATGCCAACCTCACAGTAATCTACTCTCTATCTTTTTACAACAAAATACAGAATATGGCGTTACATACCGGTGATCCAGAAATGTAGAACAAAACACAAGACGAACATCGGTTTGTCTCGGCCAAATGAATCTGTACAGGAGAGCTGGCACACCTCCGTTTCTCTTCGAGATCTATCCGCAAAATATCTCCACTCTAGCGAATTGGCGGCAACAGTCGTCTTACTCTTGGCCCGAGGCTTTCGGGGAGACTCCGCGAAGTCCCTGCATTCCACTAACCTTGTTTGGGGTCAGACAAAGTGCCAAGACTCTTATGGCATTGGCATTCAGCAACCACATTCATAAGCCTGAAAGCCAGAATGGTAGCGCTATTTGGCCCCACCAGCCGTCTCCAGCTACCCCGTGGGGTGACTAAACTATAATCCCTTCAGCGGGGATCTTACCCGGATTTTCGTCCTGGATACGATAGAATTAAGCCCTTTGGCCCGTCTGGACATAGCCTGATGGGTTAGACGGGTCTTGGCTGTTTGGGACTGGGCCAATTTGCCGGGCTAGGGGGTCTCACGCAGGATATAGAGCATAGAACGGACGAGATATATAGCCATGATTCGCTCCCGGGGAGCCTTCAGGTGTCCACGGATCGGCACTGTCAGGAGCAACCGAACATCAACTTTTCAACATGATCGTCGTGGGAAAACAGCGCGAGGAAAATGTTGCTGAGCCTGTGCTGGCTAACTTGCTGGCCGATGATCGTACGGTTTGGTACAAGAAGCCGAATCTGAGACGACTCTATTTCATCTTGTTTCCGGCGTGTATGGGTATTGAGATCACGTCTGGATTCGACTCGCAGATTATCAACACGGTTCAAATTGTGTATACTTGGAACAAGTGCATGTCTTCTCCATCCTGGATGGGCTCTTCAGAAACTAACGGTGCGATATAGATTTCGGTCATCCAACTGGAGATATTGTGGGTGACCGCCCCGAGTACGCGATCGAAGCGAACCTGAAGGGCTTTTTGGGTGCTGCCTACTCCCTGGGGGCTATTCTCTCCCTGCCATTTGTTCCATACCTTAACCAGCGATTCGGACGGCGATGGACGATCATGTTCGGTTCATGCGTGAGTTTGGTCGGAGCAATCATCCAGGGTTTCTCCAACGGAGGTATTCACCCCTTTCTTAATCCTTTTTGAGACGTCTCTGATGGATCCCAGTGGCCATGTACATTGTTGCGCGTATTCTTCTAGGTTTCGGAATCCCATTCTGCATCGTCGCCGGTTCATCTTTGCTGGGAGAGCTGGGTCACCCCAAGGAACGACCGATTCTCACCTCGCTCTTCAACTCCTCCTATTTCATCGGCCAGATCATCGCGGCAGCCGTGGGCCTCGGGACAGTGACCATTTCGTCCAACTGGGCATGGCGAATCCCATCTCTCCTTCAAATTGTGCCCGCCATGGTCCAGATTGTGACAGTGATGTACAACGCTCCCCGCCTCTATCCCGACTGCTCCCACTAACACACGCCCAGGTTCCTCCCCGAAAGTCCCCGATACCTGATCAGCAAAGACCGCTACAATGACGCCTTCGACATCCTCACCAAGTACCATGCAGAAGGCGACCGCAGCTCGGTCATTGTTAAGGCCGAACTGGCGCAGATCGAACGCACCATCAAGCTGGAGCTCGAAGAGTCAAAGCAATCCTGGTGGGACATGTTTCGCACGGCTGGTATGCGTCGTCGACTGTTCATCTCTGCTTTTCTCGGCCTTTTCACGCAGTGGTCCGGCAATACGCTCATTTCGTAAGCATTCGCCCGTTTCCCCTCACCTCTATGCCTTGCACCTTCGCTGATCCATGTAATAGTTACTATCTGAGCGACCTCCTGAACATGGTCGGAATCACCGATAGCGTTACCAAGTCCAAGATCAACATAGGCATCGCCTGCTGGGGTCTCGTCTGTGGCACTGCGCTGGCGCTGACAGCCCCTCGCTTCAAGCGTCGACCGACGTACCTCACCTGTGCAAGCTGCCTGCTGTGTGTGTATATCGCATGGACCATCTCTATGGAGCGCTTCATGAGCACAAAGGCTGAATCTGCAGCCATTTTGACCATCTTCTTCATTTTCGCGTACTCGCCTGCGTACAACCTCGGCTATAACGCCCTGACCTACAGTGCGTGTCCATTCCGTGTCTATCCGTGTGTATATTCTTACATGAACCAGCGTATCTGATCGAGCTTTTCCCTTACATGGGCCGCTCACGCGGTATTTCATGGTTCCAATTCTATGGCCGCGGCGCAGGTTTCTTCGCAACCTACGTGAACCCCGTTGGTTTGTCTCGTATCGCCTGGAAATGGCTCCTGGTGTACTGCTGCTGGCTGGTATTTGAGCTGGTATTCATCTACTTTTTCTTCCCCGAAACTGCGGGTCGCACTCTTGAGGAGCTCTCGTTCAGTAAGTGGTTTTTCTGCTCTACTGCAAGAGGCAGAGCTGACTTAAAATAGTGTTCGAAGACAAAGACAAGGCCAATGAGGTCGCTGCAGCCGTTCACAAACAACTCGGTGAGGATGACGAGAAGAAAAAGGGTACGAGCCATTTGGAGATCCAAGAGACCAAAAGTGCTGTTTGATGGTGTTGTGATGGCTCCTATATACGGATGGGAGGATGAACGGGAGAAACAAAGTTATCTGCTAGGTAATATATGTTTCTTATCTTTCTGACTTTTTGGCTTCCTGATGACGGTTTTTTCGTAGCGAGCTAGAATACGTAGTAGGGGCTTCGCGCGTGGCAGGTATTCTGAATATATGGGTCCCCGCCGTAACGGCGGCATCTTCCCTCTCGACGCACACCCTTAGGGACAAGCTATTATTAGTATTTGACGTCTTCCAAATGTTTCCCAAATGTTCGTTTTTTGCCATCTCCATCAATCTATATCTGTTCCCTATTTCGGATGATTGAATGGGGATGAGATGTCTTCTGATTCAAACTAGCGTACGAACTTGTGGCATCGCTGGCGTGGAAGGTTCTTCGTAAGCCCATCTACAATCATCTCCTTCGATTCTCCATATTCGCCAGAAACTTCTACCTTAAATAGTGTTGGTGTATATACATGTGTTGGAGCTTGTTCTGTAAGATTTCTGTAGGAGCAGTGTCTTCTTCGATAGTAGAAATTGTCTTGAATCACGATGATAGCTTATTCATAAGGGATGGGAAATAATTCATCAAGTGCAATCCTACGGGGAATCATGGCTTGGTCATAAAGCAAGTTCACCAACGCTTCCAGGGCTGTGCGATTAGGCTCGATTCCGTAAGGCCATGGATCGCCACCAAATAAATTTTCGATCTCGTTGAGGTCAGATGAGAGGAATGGCAACATATACCGATAGGTTGAGGTGAATTTCATTGAATGTAGAGCAATCTTTTTGGAGTCATTCATTGCCTTAAATAAACTAAGCGGGACGAACGGATGCTTTTCCACAACTGCTTTTTTGATGACGACGAGATGCATTATAGGGAATATTCCAGTCCTTTGAAAGTACTCTTTTTCAGTTTCACGAATATTTGGGAACAGATGTCGAATGTGGGGTGCTTTTCCAAGGCATGGTGGAGTGTGAGCACCAATTGTAGCTGCAATCTCGCCATCCTCAAGGAGTTGACTGAGCGATTTTGGGCTTATATTTGGAACTCGAGATACTGGACGAAGTAGCGGCTTTGCCTTCGGTTGGCCATGGGAACCCGATTTTATTAGGTCTCCTTCAACCCAAGTAATTGTAGATAGGTCGACCCCCGCATCCTGCAGAACAGCTCTAATCCACACAGCAGCCGTCATAGTGTAAATCTGAACACCTATCTTTTGGCCATTAAGATCGGATGGCTTTGAGATGATGTTCGAGTTGATCACGATGCAGCTATGACGAAAAGCCCTCGAGGGAAACACAGGAATGCCAACCAGGTCTCGTTCACCGGCCGCGTATCGACAAACATACTCCGAGCTGGACATTTCAGATGAATCAAACTCCATGTCTCTGATCATCCGGTCAAATATTTCCCGAGGGTGATCAATTTTTATATAGCTGAGATCAATTCCGACGGGTTCGATAGCCTTGTCAGCTAGAGGATCCATGCGATCATAAGGGCCGCATGCAAAAGTTAAATGAATGTTACCCATTTGTAATGACCAAATACTTAGGTACGCAATTGAGAGTTGTAAAATTAAGATCAATAAATTATAGTCCTCTCAATATGATTATATCATCTTTTATGGTCTCGCGAAACAGTAGCCAATACTCGGAGGCAACTTCCCCGTTTGTCCTCTTTTTGCTCGGTATACGCGCTTATCTCCGAAAAGATCAATATCCGCACCCTCCTCCGAGGTCCACCCTTATCCCGAATTTGAGCTTGACCTGATCTGAATCCATATTGTCTTTTCTAGTTTCTTGAAGAGATATTTGCCACTTGGCTTACGTCCGCTTTTCCTTCCTCCTTCTTTTTTTGCTTCCTTTCCTCCAAGAAAAGAAAGACCACGATTGAACTCCCCTGGTCAAGTAAAACCTTGTCCTGAGCGTAAATAATCTTAACTAATCTAGTGATGAAACAGCCGACGTCAGGCTGGACCTTATTAGATGACATACTCCCAGCACTATATTTACCAATATAGCTTCGCATCTTAGATAGAGAGAAATATGACCTCGACACCTTCTTTCTATCGGAATGTATCTGTTTCCTCTTTTGGAAGCCATCCTTCAACGTGGTGTGTGGTGGTTTGGTTGTTGATTCGTTTTGGTCCTTCTCATCCAATTTGCCTACAATAATCGTCTTCGAGCACACTAGTTCACTAAATATGGCATTTATTACCTTCCATTCAAGACAGTTCACTTCTCCGACTAGTAGATTGATTATTGTCTCGCAACATCCTCCAAATAAAGAATCCGCCTCGGCAATGATCCACCAATCTACTAAGTGCCCTATCTGGCTTGAAACGAGCCTTTGTAAAAGTTCACAATCCCACAATTACGAGTCAAATTGTGAAGGTATCCAGAGAATCGGAGAAATGTCACTCTCCTCTCCTCTACCTGACACAGACGGGTTGTCGTCGCGCAAATATTTATTTCGTCTTACATTTCACACTTTTCCATATTATTTACTTTGCCTATTCATGCATAAATCTTCCTCTGATATGCTTAAGCACTGACTGTGATGCGAAAAGGCAATTTGATTTGGATTCGAATTGGTTTCGTTGAGGCTATTTTCACCAATGCATGAAGGACGGTGTCTCATTAAATACTGAGGTGCTCCTTGAACCACTCAAGTGCCTGTATAAAGGCGCTCCCCTTGGCATATTTCACCACAGGGTCCTCCTGATCGCCTCGCACGGCAAAGCCATGCTTGACGCCGCTGTATAGATTTATTTGCCAAGGTATGCTCAATTCTTTCAAGATAGTCTCCGTCTCATGACGCTTTTTTGCGGGGAATATTGCATCAATTTCAGCAGCAGCAATTGCCAGCGGACCCTTTATCTTTCTTATTTCATCTTCTTCAATATGTGATGGGTGCGCAGTGTACCCAACGTCAATCTTTCCAGGAAATAAATGTCGAACGACATATTTGCCACCAAAACAGTAACCTGCAGCTCCAATTTTCTATTTTTTCCTCAATATATAAATTTTTTTAGACAACTCATAACGATGACTTACCTTACAGTTGAGGTTTTCATGCATCTCTCTGATACAAGCCTCAACAATAGGATCAACATTCATGGTTAGATGAGCTTTGCCTTGAGGATGGTATTCTCCCATTCTCCATTTCTGCATATTGAATTCGCCTGTTTTGTTCAGCGGCACAGGGTCACCGTGAAAAATATCTGGCATCATCACTAGAAATCCATTCGCCGCAAATTGGTCAGCGACGAGTTGAGCATTCGTGAGCCTGTGGCCAATAATGTCTGTGAGTCTATTCATGAGATAGTCAACACACAAATAGGTTTGAGTTCAGAATCGAAGAGTCTCTATAATTACATCAGGATCCCATACTCTGCTGACTTGGCAGGAGGGTAACTGGTATAGACTTCGAATCCGTCTAGGGTTGTTAGGATGCCCGTTGGCTTTCCATGATGCTTGAAACCTTGATAGCAGCAAGACTGAGACGGGTTGGAAGCCATGATTGGATCAACTAGCTAATCTCTTCTGAACTTAACTTTTCAATCAATGCAGGAGGTCTCTTTTATATATTCATGGGACTAGATTTCCCCATATTGCTATCATGTCCGAGGGTATCACTAGCGCAATGACAAGATCTCTTCTGAATGACACCGTAGTCCCTAAAAACTCAGGAAACGGTTTCGAAGTCATTATCGGGAAATTGTTGTTGGACCCGAGATCCAATTTTCGGCTTTAATATACATCGAACTGAAATGATTTAGAGAATGGCTCTCTGAATGATCGCCTGCGTTCGGAAGAGTGGGGCCGATGGTCCTTCCACCGGTTCATACAGACATGTCGGACCTAGCTTCCCGAACCAGCCAGTCTATTTAAAGCCAGACCGAGGAGTATTATCTTTGAATTGAATTAGTCTCTGGGCATCAAACCCGATAAGTTGACCCTTTATGCAACACCTGGTCAATAGGTTCAACGGGATCATTTCCAACAAAAGCATCCAAACCTGTAATCGTTTGGAATGTAGTGGTAATCATAACATATTCGCAAACACCCTCAGGTCATCGTTTGTGCATGTTTCGATTTATTTATTTAAGCCTAAAGCACTGGCATTGGGCAATCTTAATTCCCATCCTATTTTGATCCCATATATTTCTTGACAAATGCCCCATGTTTCTAGTGCAGCAAATAGGGTTTTCGGTCACAAGCTGGAGTCTGCCTATTTCCGAAACTACGTTCCGAAGCCTACATAATTTAGCCAAAAAAGGAAGAAGATTTTGATATGCGGTCTAATATTGAATATCGGATCGGAGAGAATTGCAGTATACGTAAGCTCGTATGTATGATTTTGGATTTGATTTTTGCTTCATTTAAATGTTTGTCTTTCAAATTTATCGAAGTTTTCCTCGCTGACCTACTCTTCGACTTATTTACCCCTCTGCTTGAATGACAATAGCGTTCTCCTGAAAAAAATCTTGGCAACAAATTCCCCGCATTCGTTCCCAGAGTGAACTATTTTTCAGAGAGATCAATGATAGGCAAATCAGACATATGCAACTTTGCACTGCCATACGGACGAAGAACAGCTTCAAAAACATTGCCAAGACACTTTCGCTCACTTAATGGAATTGGAGAGCCTGGAACAACACCAGCAAACAAGGGCCATTCGATCAAACAAGCCTTTGCCGTGACAAACGCAGGTAGCTTCCCGTCCTCAAAAGTGGGTGAAGGTAAATCTCCAGAACCCGCGTGATATACCAGGGTTGATGGGTCAATTGCCAAGTTCCATTCAGTGGTGTTCAAAAGGGCATGATCATGAGCCTGTCGTGGAAAGGTACCAGGTGGGTAATTAGTCTGGTTATTATAGAATTTAGGCGGTCCAGATACGACGGTGTGTGGAACATGGAATGCATAGAGCAGCGAGCCTTGATACACAGCAACTGTGTCATTGGCTCGCTGTTCTACTCGCAAAGCCATGCTGATCTCATAGTCAAAGCTTGTTTTGCCAGAAGGAACCTCAACTTGAATCAACCTCGAATAACGATCTGGCACTGTTGTGTAGTCTTCTTGACCAGACCCCCGAATGCTGACTCCTGTTGCCCATCCTGGAACACGGATGTAGAATTGGAACTCAACATCACTATCAATTTCATAAGACAGGAGATTACTGAATGGATACTGCGTTTGACAATCGATAGAAACTGCCTTTCTTTGAATCGTAGTTTCGACCCTCCCAGGGCTGAGTAACGCGTGGACAATACCCGTCTTACCATTGCGGAGATAGCTATACATTGTGAACTTAGGGTAGCCCTGAGGATGATTGACCGTGCAACATGGATAATCTGGTTCAAGTCCAAATGTCTGGCCTTGCGTATTAACATCAAAGAACGGAGTAGCGGAGAGATTCTTGGAAAAAGGCTGATTAGGTTCCGTCATATATTGATGGCTCCACCAGTCTCCCGAGACTGCTGCTGGAAGAGCATTGAAAGCCGCAAGTTCGGCTCGGTCTGCGTAATCAGCATCACCAATGGCGAAATAATTATACGCAAGGGAATAGATAGTTTCAACATCAGTGCATAGTTCCGAGCCGTAATACGCGTTGAGACCATCAATTCTTTCATCTGCCAGTATAGTGCCTGAGGCTGAGCCATGATATTCGAAAGTCCAGTCAACCTAAAAAAAATTAGAAAATCTCTCCAATTCATAAAATTTCCTTGTGCACCTACTCCATTTTTCGCTGTGGTGAGTAGGCTGTCATTGAATGTGGAACGCCGTAATACAGCGGCGTACTTCAACCCTTCGAAAATTAGATAACGTAAAATGTGGATAAGTTCCTGAAGCTTTGATTACCTTCAGCAATTGTCACCCCATGTAGGAATGCCCACTGGTCATCCGTAATAGATTCGGGAAGATCGTATAAATCCTCCTTGATATAAGACCCCTCTGTATACCATCCTTCCCATTTGAATGCGAACTTGTGCAAAAGTTCGATATTTTCTTTCAGGACTTCAATCTGATCCCCTGGATGATAGTCAATCATCCACTGCAGACTAACGATCATATCCTCGGCCCGGGAACGGAACCAAAGATAGTCATCTGCACTGAGCTTATCACCTTCATGATAAATCATTCCGGTGCCATTCTTTCTCAGCATAGAGTTCATCAGCGTATTGAAGCGGTGCATGGCGTTGACGATAGGCATCTCATAAGTAGAATTAGCATCAGCGAGATTGGTAAGACCTAAGAACAACAAAGTCCGTGCCCAAATCATTCGTTCGCCTCCAGATAGTGTCTCGGGTCCAATCCAGCCATCCGGTTGAATACGGTCAAGGATGGTATCAACAACGTGATGTACTTGGCCCTTGAGTCTCTCATCGTTCAGTGTGTAAGAAAGTGGAACAATGGCATTCACCCAGTATGGCATAGCCTCGTTCAGCACACTATACTCCGTGTCACCTCCAATCCATGATGAATCGGCCACAAATCGCCAGAAATCGTATAAATGACCTCCCAGTCCTGCAGCAGATGTCTCGAGCTCTACTTTCAGCCATCCATTTGCAGTTATACTGCCCAATGGAAACGGTTCGAATGCGAAAGGTACAACTTTTTGGAGTTCATATCACTGAAATTGAGAAAAATAAGAACAGAGTAGTGCTCGACTCACGGTCAGATGTAGCCGCAGTGCCTTCTATTAGGCTAACAAAGCTGATTAGGGAGATAAAAGGCGTGCGAACGTTGGGGAATTTCATTTTTCATATCTGCCTCTTCTGAGATCTTGCGGGTGAGATAAAGTCTTGCTTAAGCTTTTGGTGTTAGGAGAGAGGGGGTTTCATACCAGCACCAGGCCTTTTTTAAAAAATGGCAGTAGGCTAGCATTGCTAGATAAGTGAGGGGAAATGTAACATTAATGGAGAGCTTGCGCTTACACCCGACGCATCAAATTTATCTATGTCGATCCTTGCAACATCGCTCAGTAAGTGCATACTTCTCCGTCGGTAATTTACCTCAAGTAGAAACAGGCCTATATCCATAAAAGCTCGTCGAATTTCTTGAAAGGGGCATAAAATCCGTCGGTATCTATCATACAGAATAATTGAAAAAACAACTTGAACGTTATGTGAGGGGTATTCCGTTAAGCAAACAATGCTTTATCCAATTGAGACAAGCAGCCACGTTATCTATAATGGAATCGACCAATCATATACGAATGACAGTCCCGTTCTCCTTCTGGACAAAGTTGAGGAAGTCATTCAGGTCATTGTGTTGCGGATGGCCAACAATGAAAACAGCAGGCTTTCCATAAGGAGCTGCAACCCGAATTGTTCGGCCACCATGATACTTTTGCCCAGACCACACATGGGTGTAGACCTGGTCCCTGTCGGGCAGATAGACATCAACAGTCTTGCGGCTTGGGTCAAGAACCGGGGCAACATAAAGATCGGATCCAAGGTAAAAGCTCTCGTAGCTGATATTCTTCGCCTTGTTGTCGTTTGGATGATAAACAACGGGCATTCTCATCAAAGGCCATCCCAGCTTCTTACTTTCGGTATCCAAGATGCGACGACGGTACTTGCCAAGGCTAGCGAACATCCGAGCATTGTAGGCATGATACGAGTACGTCGACGAATTTGTGTAGAATTGGGCATTCACCTGGGGCACATTACCCTCATGCGAGCGGAAGACTGCGCTAGAAACTGCAGCCAGCTCTCCCCAGCGACCCAGCAACTCTGCGGAGCGATTAACAATGCCATTGCTGTCCCAAGTGGTGGTATATCCACCAATTTCCATATGGCCGTGTGCAAAACCAGAGAGACCCATATGGCCCATAACGGTCACAGCAGATTTGATGCCATCATTAACCCCCCAGTTAGTGTCTTGGTCACCAGCCCAGTAGAGGTTCATAAAACGATTCGCTCCCATCGAGGATGAGCGGTGGAAGATGATGGCCTCCGAGAATGCTGAAACGCTTTTGGCGAGCGAGTGGTGCAGGGTAGCCCAATCTCTCGGATATTCGTTGTGATAGAACACCGGATCGATGCTTCGGTTGGCGAAGCGAGTGTCTTTGTAGGTAGGGGTGTATTCGCCAAAGTCGCACATATAGCCTGACACATTGGCGCTCCAAACCTGGTCAATGAGAACATCTCTGAACCAAGAGCGGGTCGCCGGGTTGGTCAGATCCAGAATTCCTGCATCAATGCCTGGGCCGCTGGAGACAATGGATGTGCTGTTTATAGTAGCATTTTGAATCATATAGCCTCCCTTCGTCGCTTCCAGGAAGAGGTTACGGCGGTAGCCATCAGGCTTGGTGCTGACATTGGCCAGGAAAGGGTTGATGTACGACAGTGTACGCACGTTGTGCTCGTTTCGCAGATTCTGCACAAATTGTTTCCAGGTTGGGTATAGCTTTGAATCATTTTCCCAATTCCACCACAGCCGAGAGATGTTAAGTGTCATGTACGAGACGCTCTGCGTGTGTGTGCCGGACCTATGCCAGTTAGCAAGATGGTCAAACACCTTGGTTAAAATTGAGGGTTCGAGGTAGTTCTTACCAGTCTTGGAGCCAAACAGCAGCAATCGGGCAGGAAAGGTTGAGTCCCTGGTCGACAATGCGGTTGACTTTAGTTTGACCACCTTGGATTCCGAGCACGGCACCCGAGTCCACCCACGTAGGAAGCTCAGGCATCCTACCGGTATACTCGGTGAGCATAGTAATTCCGTCCAGCATGGTGCATGCCTGCATGAGATAGCCATCGACTGTCAGAGCAGCATAGCGCACCGTCACCGCATTCAGATCCCGGAAATCAAAGTTTGTATACGCGGTGCTCTCCTGCGAGAGATGGAACACTCGCGATTCCGAGGTAATATACTGGGGTACAGCTGAATAGGTTGTGAATTGGTCACCACCTGCAAAAAAGCTGTCTTCACTTTCAAGACGTGTGGTAGGCTGGTCACCACGGCCAACGCCTTGTTCACGGGAGAAGATGGGGACGGATTGGTTCTTCAATGAAGCGAAAGAGGCCTGGCCACCCAACCCATAGAAATCTTCCGATGGCTTGGATTGGTAGGTGAGGTATAACTTGGTTAACGGATCCGCAGACGAGCCTGAATCGACATCGACATGAAACGCGACACGGTCTGGGAGCTCAGCAGGCACCCAGAGCGCAAGGGAAAATGCGGCAGACCCATTCCCACAGCCTGAAAGCTCGCCCTCAATGACGGTGGCCTGGTCATTGGCACTTCCATTCCACGTGAGCTGCGAGACTTGACTAATGTGCTGACGAGTGCATTTCTTCTGATCAACCTCATTAATTTTGAAGTTGCCGCTCGAGCTGATGATTTCGTCAACCCCCGCACTTGCGCTGAGAAATGGTTGGTTCGGCTGGGTTTCCCAAATGACGTTCTTCCCGTGAACTAGAGAGAGGTGGTTGATATTCTTGTCCACAGAAAGCTTGAAGCCATTGCCCAAATCAACCGGGGCCTGTGATGCAAGGGATGGAACGGCTGTTGCGATGGCCGTCCATACCCACGACTTGGGTCCAAACATCTTGCACTTTGTGATATGCTATATGCCAAAGTGGAAGCGGGATGAAGTTGGAAAATGGCAAACCCTTTGCTTTTTAAAGCTCAATGCTCAATGGGTCGGTTATCTTCCGACGGTACCTTTTCAACGGAGTCCGAACGGCTGCCGAATTCATAGATTGCTTCGGTCCACTTCCACGATTTTTCCGACCACCATTGCTTTCTTCCATCGGCCATGTACGTCACAGGAAAGCATAGGGAACCACGATCGGGTAGCCGATTCTGTAGAATTTAATGATGATCAGCTCCACGGATGGCATCAGTTGGCTGTTAGCAAGGCAAGTGGTGCCATTCGCCCCACTATTGTTGCCGAGTCGGGTCGTGACGAGGTCTCCGTCCGGAGAGTTGCCGACTTTCCCTGCAAAACGCATTTCCGTCCCCGGATTGGACGTTGGCCTGCGGGCGTGGAGAGAATTTCTGGGGTGACCATTTCGACACCCAGCTTGCACTCTCTAGAGTGCGAAGCTTGAAAACATTTCCACTGATGCAGACCCTTATCAACATTCCAAGATTTTCTCTATTTCAACTTGAACTTCTCGGCATACCTTCATCGTCAGTGGCGCCGAGTTTGTGAGCCGTCGCGGATGTGGGGTTGGGGTCTCCGCAGTCGTTGGTTTCTTTGGGTATGATTCCCGGACTTTTCATTTTCCCGCTCCACGAGCCAACGGGCCTAGGAAAGAGCACGTCTTAAAAGGCTAAAATGGCAAATGAACAGGAGGAAGTGGAAGGCAGACAAGAAGGGGATAGAAAGAGTGCTCGTATGCATAATATAGAAATACTAGGCCAAATTAAGCTCCGGTATAATGATAACGAATCCTTTCTCCAGCTTTGGCAATGTCAATATTGAACCATATGTTGCGGATGCAGTAGCTCATACTAGTGGGAGTTAGTTTCTGACGGGGTCATCTATGCCCCATTTCTGGACAAGAGTGAGGCCGAATGGCAAGGAAGCCGCGAAGACCCATACTGCCAAGTCTTTCCTGCACCATCAAAGTAAGGGACTTTCGGGGGGAAAAACACTAACATAGAACTGAAAAACTCAGAGATAGCCGGTTCCCCCCGTACTTTCACACTAGCTTTCATAGCGGGAAAATTTCGGCCTTATTAGACTAGGTTGAGTCTCTAACACGCTTCACCATCCAAGGCTTGCCGTCGTGATCTTTTGGAGAGAGCGAATGGAATTAAATGCCCTTTCTTCGCGGCAGCTATGGAATTGGAAAACTGTAGCTTGATAAATTTCTAGTGTAATACATGCATTCCCTCTTGCCACAACGGCTTTGTTCCCCAGGGCGTGGGAATCTCACTCATCTCAAAGCTGATGTGTGATGCCTGGACAATATCTTTGTGATATATAACAGGCAAGGTTACTTCTCGCCCATCAATGTGCAGGCTTTTCACGTAAGGTTTGGTGGGTGCATTCGGTGCACTAATAACTAGAACCTTGTCCGTCTGTTGGTTTTCGATACCTCCTTCAGCGGCTGCGGAAGGGACTGTAATGGATATTTTCTCGAAAAAGGGTGTTCCCACAACGTACTCGTCGCTTGCGGGGTTGACAGGATAAAATCCCATGGCTGAAAAGATATACCAAGCACTCATTTGGCCCAGGTCTTCATTGCCACTAAGTCCGCCACTAGTGGCGTTATAGTTGGACCAGGCAATATTTCGGATCTCATCTGCAGCTTGGGATGGAAAGCCAAGGGAAGAGTACAAATATGGCACATGATGACTTGGCTCGTTGCTTTGCTCATTGTGTCCGCCTTGAAAATGAGAGTCCAACTTGTCACGCATGGGTTCCTGACCTCCGAATAAATCAGCGAGTCCCTCAACATCATGCATCACGTCAAACGTATATACCCAATCGTCGCCTTCGGTCCAGCCCCAGGTGTTGTTGGCCCAGGTTCCGTTTGCATTGCGAGCTTGCATAAATTGTGTTTCGTTGTTCCAGAGGTGAGCGTAGTTCAGACTACGAGCTTGAAGTTCTGCGATTGTCTTCTTGTCAACCCCAGCATGTTGGGCGACAACTGAGCAAGCATAATCATTGAAAGCGTAGTCTAATGTACGACTCGCAGACTCGGACCATCCATCATTCGACACCCACCCTTGTTTCAAATAGGCAGTGAGACCAGCCCGGGCTTCGTAGGAGGTATATGGTTCACGATCATAGTAAAGAAGCTCTGTATCCCGCTCTGGTGGTGTATAGGCATTTTTCTTCACAGCTGACCAAGCTTTAGAAATATCAAATCCTCGAAAGCCACGTTCCAATGCGTTGGCCAACACCGCATCTGCATTTGTTGCAATCATGATGTTAGTCTCAACCATGTTGGCCCACATGGGTAGCCATCCAGTCCAGTCGAAAATACGAAGCAATGTACGCATCATGCTATTCACACGCTCGGGGGCAAATATAGTCAGCAATGAGTGTTCCGCCCTATATGTATCCCAGATTGACCAGGACTGGTAGTATGAGTCATTTCCAACGTGGACTTGGTCCGTATATCCAGAATAGAAGGCACGCGGTGCATCCTCTTCGTTTGAGGTTGGTTCGGAAAAGTCGCTGGGATATTGCAAGGAGTGGAACAGACCCGTATACCAAACTGTGCGAGGATCATGGTTCAGATCAGTCTTGTTGATTCCTTCGATGCTCACACGGCCTAATTTTTCGAGCCAAGACTCTTTCACATTCGCAACAGTACTTTCGAATGGAGTCCCATCAGGAATCTCAATATTTAAGTTCTTTCGAGCTTGCTCAACACTGATGTAAGATATACCAGTGCGAACCTCAACTCTACTTGTGGCTTTAGAAAATTTGACATAGGCTCCAGTGAAGTTGCCGTGCCTTTGTCGTCCATATTCCAAGGTTTCATTTCCGGCTGTGACTCCCATCGCATCGAATGTCTCCGAGAATCGTGATACAAAATATCCTTTGAAACCTGCCGCATGATCGGGTCCAAGAAGGTAATCCTGGCGCTCTGTATTATATCCATAGATCTCCTTCCTTTTGGGGTCGATGTGAACCTCGCCCGTCCAATTCCGGCGAGAGACCTGGATGAACACCCAAGGCTCAAGCCTTTCATTCTCAGATATATTGTCAGATTCCTGAAATTCGAATGAAATATGGCCCACGTGGGAATCAGCAGACAGAGCAACCTAGAAAATGGATTAGCTCTCGTCGAAAATTTGTCTTTGCCGGCCCATTTGATGTGGACAGTCTGATTTAGCGCTGGAGTATTTACTTGGATAGAGCGCTTGTATTCCGCTTGATCGAGCCTCTCCCTACCACTTAAGGGCTCCGGTAGTGTGAACCCTCGTCTTGTTCGTCCATTGGCACCTGAAAACCTACTATCAGATCTTGAACAGTAGTGGAGAATCTAGGGGTCTTCTATACCTTCTTCCACCGTATCGGGTACTGCGCCAGCGCCCCCGGGAACTGGTCCGTCACCCACAGCCTCCGCGGTAGCATTCCAGTCACGATTCATCAGTTGCGTGGCATCCAAGAAAACCTCGTATACATACGGGGTGCTTCGCTCGTCTGCCTTCCGAAAGGCAAGACCTCGGTTCTGAAAGAGGCCTTGCACGTCACCCATCCCGGGCATCAGTACTATTTGACCCGCCTCGCCCATCCAGATGGCAGGTTGATGGGTAGCTTGAAACCCATGGATGAGACGGTCGCTGTCCCCGTAGGGAACTTGCGAGATGAAGTTCTCTCGGGTCTGTGGAGTCCAGCGCGTCATTGCAAAAGGCGGTGCGACAGAGGGTATCATGCCTCCATTCCCATTTGGCGTGGTCCCGTATGTCCCGATTAAGGGGTTGACATATTGCAGCACTCCGGCGTTCTCATGATAATTCCGTTGCGCAGAGCCTGTCTTCAGACTGGGGTCTGTTGGTTGTGCGTGTGTGAGACTTCCCACCAGCGCGATGACCGAGAGTATTCGGCCCATCGGTATTGCTAAATAGAATAATACCATCTTCTGTGTCGGAAAACTAGGAGAAGAATGCGAGTGCCGCGATGAAAATTCGACTTTGGACGCGTCTGGACTCCAGGTCGTGAGAATTAGCTGTTGGCCCACGATGAAACATATTCTGCCAATCTTTTCAAATATCGGACCTCTGCTTCATAAATGTGGGCCAAAGCTCTCCAGGCATAGGAGTGGAAGTAACCTTGGAGTCTCTCGGTGCTGATCCTCATCTACCGATGCCATTCTGGGAGTGGGCGAGCCTTCTCTTGTCAATTGCGGGGTCAGGGTCGCATTTTGCGGGGACATGCTTTTTATCCATTTTTCACGTTGAACAGGACATGTAGATATATGTACCTCATAATGCTACTATTTATTTGATCTATTCGGCTATTTATCTATTCATTTTTTATGCAGCATTTCGCCCTCTAGAGTTTCTCTGGAAGTGCAAAGCTTAAACTACTGCATGTTTACCACAAGGGGTGGTTTAGCGTAGATGACAGCTACTATCAGCCTCTTAATCAGATTCCTCGGTTACAGGCTTGCTTGTACCACGGTTAACTAGACTCCGAGGGGTCGGTCAAGGTACAGTTCTGTATTGGCCTAGGATGCATTTAAGAATATACCACTCACTGGCAGGCTTATAGATAAAGAAAAGTGTGTTCAACTTTGCGAAATTTCACAGGCACAATGAAAGTCGGTATACCTCATGTATACTGACAATAGCTCAGAGTCTAGGTGCAAGCAGAAGTATCTGTCAAGTATCTGGCTTGTCCCTTCCCTAAAAATAGTGTCTTCAGCCACATGCACTAAACCCAGTCGGGAAATGTGCCACATAACACGGCTAGGCATTCGTGTTCATTCCGCGCGTCCAGCCTGACAACTTTGCGTTGTCAATATAATCAAAGGCTAGGGGTTGTCGAAAGATATTTAATTCTCCATCAACCTGCAAGTCCTTGTTAAATCAACTCGGTTTTGTTCCAAACCCCCTGTCAGCATGCCAGCCTTATACCATGCGTTGGGTGGGCGTGCGACCGAAATGGCCCCGCTCCTGATTAAGCGTGATTTAACGGTCAATCACACTCAGGCCGTCACGCTTGGGGTCATGGCAGCCTATGTGGTTGTGATCGCATTGTTATGGAATCTCCCATACGTTCGCTGGTCCTTGTGGCCTTTCAAGGTCGGTTCAGTGCCCAAGATGAATACGAGAAAGATTGAAGGCTAATCATAAATTCATAAAATAGATGCTGGTCATCGCATTCCACGAGTTCGGCCACGCTATCACTGCATGCTGCACTGGAGGAAAAGTCAAATCGATATCGCTGGATCCTCACGAAGGTGGCGTGACTCATATGCAAGGTGGAATCAGTGCTGTCACATTGCCCGCTGGCTACTTAGGATCCTCAATTATCGGCGCTCTTTTGATCTTTGCCGGATTTGATATTGTTGCCAGCAAAGTTGCCAGTATCATACTTGGGGTCTGCTTTCTATTGACCCTTTGGTGGGCCCGGAAGGACTGGTTGACGATCATGACAATACTTCTTGCGGTCGGTTTGTTGGTGGCATGCTGGTTCATTGCCCATGGGGAAGCTCTGCGGTGGGTGGTGGTAAGTTTTTGCCTCCAACGCAATTCATCTCACCATGGTGAGGTTTAATTTTTCACGAAGATAAGCTGATCATCAATCTGCAGCTATTCATCGGTGTCATGTCGGCGCTCTACAGCGTGTGGGATATTGTAAGTGTCCGCTTCGTCTAATGCAACCGATATCTTATCACATATTAACAAAATCGTCTCCTAGTGCGATGATCTAATTTTACGGAAAGTGAATACTTCGGATGCGAGTGTCTTTGCCAGCAAATACGGAGGATCGTCCCAGTGCTGGGGAGTGATCTGGTCTATCATTTCCTTATTATTTATGGCTATTGGCATTATCGGAGGCATCGCAGCTTTCCGGCAGTCCTTTAGCGAACAAGAGAATGAGTCAAAGCACTTCATTCCCACTTAAATCAGGCAGAAAGACTCGGCAACGTTGATCACGACGACAATGACTTTTTTTCATACCCAATTTCAAACCTTGCTTTTCTTTTCTTTTCTTTCTATCAGTGAAGCATCATTACCCTGGATTCTTTTTTCTTTGTACCCCTTCATGATTTGGTACTAGGCGGTTAAACAGGTTGCTAATCTGTGCTATATGTGGTGCTTCTGCTCCACACGATTGGTGCCATTCTTCCCTGCTACATATGGCCTAATTTTTACTAGAAACTACAATACCTATTTGATTTCTTTATCTGAGGATGGTAAAAACAAGTCTATAATTCGATTAGAAGCATAGATTATAGTAGATAACCTATGATCTGGCCTGGTACTTGACGGTACTTAATTGAACATAATTTAGTTTTCTTTTACTCCGATGACGGGAATAAGCTGCCAAAATGACCCAGATGACCCAGGATATATCGAAAAGTTGTTAAAATCTAGATTCTGACAGCAGACCAAGGGAGAAGGTAAATCGCTTTCAATCGCACCTAAACACCCTCGGCAAGTCAGAAAGAGGGTAAAGTTATGTCCAATTTCGTATCAATGCCTAATACATGAGAAAATCATATGTGAGGATTTGGGGGTTTCATAAAAATACCCTTTTCCAAAACGAGACAGGTATGAGGTGGGATATCATTAAGTTTGTGAATCCAGCTGGAGAAGCTCGCCAAATGAGTCCCCACAGCCACGCGAGAAGATTTCTTCAAGAAAATCAGCTGTCTCGTCGCGAAAGGAATCGTTGAACGAAGTGATAGGATTGGCTTTGCTATGCTTTTGGTCACTCGCATGTGGTTGCAATAGTGTCGATGTAGGGGCGCGTACGGAGGTAGATGGGGTTAGGGTTTGAGAATGGGACATCGGGAATTTGTTCTTCGATTTAACCGAAGGCAGATGTATAGCCGCAGCCGCATCCATCGTGTTCATTATGTCTTCGTCGTCGAATGCTGAGCAATCAGAGAATTCGTCATCGTCATCGTCGTTCATGGATTCTAGCGTATCTCGGCTAGTTTCGGGGACTGGGGGTTGAGCGCAAGAATAGTGGAGGATGCCCGCATCCTGTAGACAAGAATTATCCTCCTGGAGACAAGAGATGTCCTCCTCTATCTCCTCATCCAAGTCATCAAACACATCAGAGTCAACCTCAGTGTCACCCCCGGCACTATCGACTTCCGTATCTCCTCCATCGGTTCGAGCCTCAGTTTCGGTCGTGATATCCACTGAGACAGGGGAAACAGGCCGACACTCTACAGGCTTCTTCGGCTTGGCGTTGCCTAAGAAGGCCGCGAGTAGCGGCTGGCTCGACGGGACCTTGGGCGCATTGGGATCTGGCAGCCCTAATCGCTTGCGCTCCTCTCGGTCCTTCGCCTCCTTCTCTTCCCGTTTTCTCTTATTTGCAATGCGCTTTTGCTCTTTCTCGCGAATATTTTTAGCTCGACGATCGAGTTCCTCTTCTCGTTCAATTCGCCGCAGTTGGGAGGCGGTGAATTTGAATCGCTTGTTGCTGCGTTGATACCGGCGTCGAACGGTGCTGGATTTTTCGATGATGATGCGGCGCGGCTCGTCTGGCATGGTGGAGGCAACCGTCACGGCGACTGCCTGCCGATTTCCCGCTCATGGGGAACTCGTGGGGTGCATTGGAGGGTTAAAGGATCGCGATGATACGGGTGTGCCCATGTTTCCGGGGAGGTTTAGATGACGGCGATACGTTGTGCCGAGAGTCAACAAATTGCCCGATCGGGTGGGTCGGCGCACCTTTGCATTTTGACTTGCAACTTTATGGATCTCGACTTCTTTAAATTGTGGCCTCCCACCATACTGACTCATAGTGGATATCAAATGGGTTAACAGCTCTTCATGATCAATATGACCAAAGCTTAGGTGATTGATCTTTTCCGGGAAACAGCTATACATCTGAAAAAGAAAACCTCTTTGCTACCAGTAACCTCGCACGCCCAATGCTAGAACCTATGTATTTTGAATTTCTATATCCCATCTGCCCTCTTTCTAGGTCTAGATCTTGCAATCACGGACTGGGTCCCAACACACTGGGGCATACTCGTTGAGCTTGAGGCTGGCCATATCCTCATCCGACAGGACGAAATCGAAGACCTGCGAGTTCTCCAGGATACGTGCATCGGTAACGGACTTCGGGAGGGGAACATATCCCTTGACAAACGAATCAGTGTCTTGCTTCAAACTCATCGAATAGACAAGATATCACAAACCTTCTGCAAGCTCCAGCGAATCAGAATCTGAGCTGGGCTCTTGTCGTGCTTCTGAGCCAGCTTCTGCAGTACCGGCTCCTTCATACGGGTCGCCTGCACCAGGGGCGAGTATGCCTCAACAACGATGTTACGCTTTTGCAGCCACTCGGCCACATCATCACGCGGGCACCAGGGGTGAATTTCGTACTGGCCAACAGAGATCTGGCCACCTGCGCCGCTCTGGATATACGCCTCCAGCTCCTCGAGGTGCTGAACGCCAAAGTTAGACACGCCCAACGAGCGAATTTTGCCCGCTTTCTGGGCCTCCACCAGGGCGCGCCATGTGCCAAGTCGCTGTTCCTTGCCGCCATAAGGAGCGTGAATCAACATACTAGGAAGGACATTAGGGTGGCTCTTTAAGTTCCAGGTTGGGAAATCATTTCATACAGATCAATGTAGCCAAGGTCAGCGGCCGCGATACTCTCATCGATCGCGAGCTTCGCCTTTTCGTAGCCCATATATGTGCGGGGCACCTTGCTTGTGTAGAATATTTGCGACCGGTCCAGTCCAGACTTGCGGATAGCCGCAGCGCTTTCTTTTTCATTCTGGTAGACCTTGGCACTGTCGACCTAGAGCGGCTTGTCAGTTTTGCTCCTCCTGGGTCACTTGGATTGTTGTTGATTACATGGCGGTATCCGAGTTCCAGAGCCTTGAGAGTTACTCGCTCTGTAACATCGGCCGGTCTTTAACAGCCTATTAGCCTAATCTTCTCGTCCAATTTGCGGCAAGCTTGTACGTACGTTTGGTAAACCTGCAACATGGAACAACCGTCAGTAATCTCTTCGTCGAGATGAATTTACGTGAGATCCATAGAGACCTACACCGAAGCCAACCACAGGAATCTCATACCCAGAGACCAACTTTCGTGTTGATTGAAGCGTATTTCCGGCCATGGCTGCAATTTTGGTGCGACACGGATGCGGGGGAATGAGAAAGTGCAGAAGGAAATTGGGGAATTCCAGAAAATGGCTGCAGAAAGGACGGGCCCACTTTTCATTTTATTGCTGATTGATAACTTCGACGGGCCACTTCGGTTCCGCAATACCCGCGCCGACTTCTCTGTGTCGGGGCCTTCTTTGGGCAATTTGTCGCCATTGGAAGTGGGGAAGCAGAGCGGACTGGGCCGATGGCTACTGGATGATCCATACGAGGACGTATTGTGGTGGGGTATTACTGCTCTGGCCGGAAGGTTAACACCGTAGGAAGGTTGCGTAAATAATATGGAGGGCGGAATTAAAACGAGGGATTTCAGGACAGCATCCAGAAGTTCTTTCCTTCTCTTTGTGGAAATAAGAGGTTGAAACTAGACCGATTGAATGCATGATCTGATAAGCGCTTCTCTTCCTTATCGATAAGCCACAGGGAAAATGTAATGGTTGTGGGATGATACTTCGTTTACGTTAATACTACAACTAGGCCTCTTGCAAATACAAGTCAATGTTTTTCAATTGCTGATTTCATCTCCAAACATTTTCTCTCCCTCCAGATTTTAAAAGGGATCCAAGAGGACAGATTTAACAAAGCTTGTAATACCTCGCTATCCAGGCATCAAATCTTGATTAGCGATTTGCGAGAGCACTTATGACTTGAGGGAAGATAAGAGCAGGATTTCCCAACATTTTCTTGCATAATTGGATAGCAATTTGAGGAATTTGCTAAGAGCTTCTTATGATTTCACTTGGTAATTAGCTAAGGTTATGATACGAGATTCCTCTCTAAACCTGTGATTTGGTCAAAATCGAATCATACCGTTTCCAGAACGAATTGCGGTGAGGTAATCGTAGCTTGAAGAAGGATTGCACGGGCACCACATCTCAATTCCCGTATCTACCGTAGCAGACAAAGTATTAGTAACAGTCTGAAATTACTATCATAATGGCGTCTGATAAGTCCAGCTGGCGTATCAAGCTAACCAACCCACTAACCCAACAGCATTACAACTTGCTAACAGCAAGACCACACGAAGTGGGCTACCTTGAGGGTGTGGATATGATAAGTGCCAGAAAAGTATAATCATTAAAGTTATAACACAATAATAACTGTCATCCCTAACGTTAAAATAAGTGCCACTGTGTGACTTGTTAATTGCATCCCGCGGGTTGGTCGCTACCATAGGCGGTCAAGAGCGGCAGTATTGTGCGGGGCAGGAAAGACGCGGTGATCGAGGCATGACTCGATCTGATCACTGTTATGTTTTTTTTTTTTTACATAAAGCGACCCTGAGAGATTATCTGCTGCCCCCTCGATATCTCTTATTCTCCGACTCGCCTGCGCACATCGAGTAGACCCCATTGAGGCAGATTCAGGACCACCGCTCGCTATAATTCCTCCTCTGAGTCCTCACTACGCACCCCTCCCAAGTGGCCGCGGCGAAGCCGACCACCCCGCAATGCGCCTCGTCAAGAACAAGATCGAGCACGGTGGCTCGGGGACAGTCACACTATGCCCCGAAGAGCCCGAAGACATGGTACACTTCCAATGATCCCACGAACACCCACTCCGCAAACTGACCTAAGACTCTCAGTGGCACGCATACAATCTCATCCGCCCCGGTGACCTCCTCCGTGCCAGCGCAATCCGGCGCGTCACCAGCGTACAAGACACAGGTTCAACGTCCTCCACGCGCGTGCATCTAACCCTCGAGATCCGCGTCAAGAGCCTCGACTTCGACCCACAGAGCTCGCAGCTGCACGTATCCGGGCAGATCATCAATGAGACCGCACACACAAAGGTCGGACAGTTCCACACGCTGGACCTCGAAATGAACCGCAACTTCACGCTAGAGAAAGAAGTTGGCGCGGATGGTGAGGGCGTGGGCTGGGATAGTATTGCGGTCGAGATGCTCAAGGATGCGGTCGACGAGAGCGGGAAGAGGCGCGCGGAAGCGGTGGCAGTGGTGATGCAGGAGGGTTTGGCGCACATCTGCTTTATTGGGCAGTTTCAGACGATATTGAAGCAGAAGGTTGAGATGTCGGTGCCGCGGAAACGGCAAGGCGGCGGGGATCATGATAAGGTACGGCAATCTGAGAGAGGGGAGGAAGGGAGATATTTTTCATAACTAACATGTTGAGTTTGACTATGTCTAGGGAATGGGCAAGTTCTTCAAGGTGACGCTGGAGACACTGCTGCGCCAGATGGAGTTTAATACGAGCATCACGTCGGGGTCGAATAATGACGGCGTGCGGCCGGTGCTCCTTGCATCGCCGGGGTTCGTAGCGGCGGGGTTCCACAAGTACATTCAGTCCGAGGCATCTACAACAACGCCAGGGTTGAAGCGATTACTGCCGAGCATTGTGGTTGTTCATTCCGCATCAGGCTATCTCAACTCATTATCGGAAGTGCTTCAATCCCCGGCAGTTAAGACGCTCCTGGCCGATACAAAGTACGCCCGCGAGACTAGGCTGATGGACGACTTCCTAGACCAGCTTCGGAAGGAGACGAACAAGGCCACGTACGGGCCTCGAGAGGTCGAATCAGCGGTCGATCAGGGTGCTGTTGGGCGCGGCGGTGGAGTCCTGATCATGTCGAACAAACTGTTCCGATCACAAGATGTTGGCGAACGGAAACGCTGGGTAGCGCTGGTTGACCGAGTTCGGGATGTTGAAGGGGGCGAAGTTCGTATTCTGAGCTCCGACCATGAGAGTGGGAAGCGCCTGGAGGGACTGGGAGGAATCGCGGCGCTTCTGACGTTCCCCATAGTGGAGGACGACTTCGAGTCCGAGGATGAAGCCTGATTCGGCTGGGATGGGTGTGTGCCTTAATGGGATATACTATGCACGTCTTTGCAGCTCGTTGATAGGACGAAGCTTGACAGGATGTTCGTCACCAACACGAAACCATGATCTACAATCCGAAACCAACGTTGGGGACCCCAATCACCCCAGCAGATTAGTCACACCTTTGTCTAAATTTGATCTGAGCTATCCGGTTTGGGATTTCTGAAACACGATCCTTTGGAGCTTCTTTTGCCTGTTCAGGCTCGTCTTCGGCTCCGAAGCACACGAGACCTCGCCTGCGAAACGCTCTAGCTAAACGTTAGCTCCGACTTGTGGGAGACTGCGCCTCCCTGGATCGAGAGACCCAAGAACGCGGAGAAAATCTCCGTCGAGAAGCTCGACGTTTGAAGCTAGAGAATAACCGATCACATCTAGGCTAGTCGAGGATCTCCCATGTCAATTCCGCACATCCGATCCAAGCCCCCCTCCCCTCGATCCTGCGTCCCTGTAGTGATCGGCCCCATGTCCATGAATGTCCATGAATATACTCTGCACTCGTAGCTCACGCACAAAACCATGGAATGCCTCATGCTCACCCAATGGGGGCTAAGGACAGGATTAGCACGTCCGAATATAGAAAGTCAGCAAGAGTCAGATTTCCCCGAAGAAGCAGTCGCATCGGCTTCGGCGCATCAAAACAGGGACAGCGCTGAAACGCTCCCATGTGGCCGAAGATCCTCTCCCGAACCCTTGGGCCTATGTCAACCACGATTTGCGCAGCAAACTCGGCCCTGCGTCGAGCCCGGGCCAGGATGGGGCCAGCGGTGGGCATCGTGATGGGCGTCGTTTCAGATGTACCCGGTGGCCCGGGTCCCGCCTGAACAGGCTCGCAGCAAGGCCGGCAGTGCAAGAGCCATGCGAATCATCGGCGATTTAGGATCACTCAGAGCGGGGCTCGGGTGAGCATGTCCGGCTTTTCATTCGTGCGCGTTTACGCCAGGGCGGGTCTAGCGTGGGTTTTCTTTCGGGGGTGGGTCGGGCTGGCAGTCTGCCTTGTTCCTGCAGTCACACTTTGTTTCTATACTTGGATCAGGATCGCTTGGGGACATGCTTCGGCGTACAGGTGCAAAGTGCGGAGGATGTGTCTGGAGAAGTCGTTTTATCTGAGGAATGCAGGAGCAGCATCACATCCCGGCCCCTCGCTTTGACTTGGGAGACTTGGGAAGTCGAAGTTGCTAAGGCCGATGACGCAACATTGCAGAAATGGTGGATCTCAGTGTACAATATCTTGCTTCTCAGTATGGAAGATATAGAATGCAATGATATAATTCGTTTATTCCAGGTATATGATATATCCCCTTTGGAACAGGGGTTGAATGCAAGGATAAATGTATAGTAATAATAGACATGATAAACAAGGAAGGAAAGTCGTAAGCCAAGACAAATGAAATTCATAAACACCATCACGGGGATATCCTGCCCCTACCAACGCCGAAGGCCCTGTTAACCTCTGTTTGTTCGTAACTCCTTTAGTCAATAAGAAAAAAGTAAAAAAAAAAAACCCCCCTGTGGTATGATGGAAACAAAAGAAAAGATATTTGCCACCGGAAAGCGCCCGCGAGCCCAAGAAGGTAAAGTAAAACAGTAGCTTTTGTGGGGAATGCATGTTAGTACTCGTCTTCTAATTCAGCCTGGGACCGTTTCCGTGATAGAGAGGCTTGGATGGATGGAGAAAGCGGAGGATCAGACAATGCGGACGGCGATGCACTGCCATAATCCCGTCGACCTTGTCGCGCTTCCAAAAGTCGCAGTTGTGCCTTGCATTGCTCCGGCGTGTATTCTTTCGTGGAGCCCATTTCTTTCATCTAGAGAAGGAGTCAGTTGCTGAACTAGAATCATGGAGTATATAGTAGACGAGTCATGTAGACATACCTTTTCGGACACAAACTGATACTTTTCATTCTCCCACATCTCATGGGATGTAATAAGGAGCTGCACCTAGCGAGCAATACCAGTTAGCTCTTTGCCCGGATCAAGTTTTTTTTTTTTTTTTTTTTTTTAGAATGGAAAGTCTATCTATTAAACTGGGCACATACTACTCACATCATGATCGTCCCAGCGTGAAAGGCGCTCTTTGCGCCGGCGGAGAAGACGCATCTGCAAGCGGGCTTCGGAGGCGTCCTTGTCGAAGCGCTGTCGGAACATTTCACGCACCACCTTCCAGGCCAGATTCTGCTGGCGCAGATCCTCGACAAAGGCGTCCTCTTCTTCCGCGCGGGGATCACGACGACCACGGCCTGGGGCCCGCAGCTTGGGCTGGACATGTGGCGGCGAGTTGAGGCTATTCTGGCGCTCGAGCTCCATGCGCTGGAGGCCTTCAGGGTTCGGGAGGATGTTGATGGGAGTGTCGCGCGAGGGTGTAGCGGATGCTCGCTTCAATCGCTTGGGAGGGTTTGTGGAGGGCGAGATATTAGGCGTGTGGCCCATGTTGAAGTGTATTTCATCTGGAAGGTAGCCGTAGCTGGAGCCGGAAGAGCTAGTCCGCGGGTAATCGGAGCCCCGGGGATATTCACTGGGGAAGGGCCCGGTGATTCCCAGGCCCTGAGATAGAGGCGGCAGAGTTTCATGGATGCTACTAGTGCTGTAACGGTGTCCGTAATCCGGAGGGGGATACTCTTGCGACTGGTGGCTGATGTGACTGAGGGCTGGACTCGGACGAAAAGAGTTATCGGCCAGGCTGATTGGAGTCAAAATGTTGGATGGGTGAAGAGACTCGGTGCAATAGGGTCCAGAAGGACCATTGACACCCATATAAGGTGTCTGAAATCCAGGCTGGAACGAGAACCGAAGTTAGTTTTGCTCTTGTACTAGCAATCCAAGTGTAGGAGAGAATGGGAGGGCAGATATATTTTGTGAAAGTAGGGTCAGTCTCACAGTATCCACGCCGGTCCAGCCTTGTCCCATGCCCTCATAGAAGCCTTCCATTCCTTCTTCAGGGCAGGGCATGTCTGGGCGCAGCGACATGATTTTCACAAGATCGTCCGGTAGAACCATATAGCAGGCTCACTGGAGAAGAGAAAGAGCTTTGCGGTTTGGCGCAAAGCTAATTGGAACAGACGCGGTGGTGGCAGAGGTTGAAACACGTCCGACAGCTTCTTGGGAAGATAGAAGATGGAAAGGAGGATAGGATGCAAAGTATATATACTTGCAGGTCAGGTAGGGGAGGAGGATGAAGAGAATGGTTGGCGTGGATGAAGAAACGATCCAGGGACAAAAAGCTTTGAAGAAAGCGACTCTTATAGATGAAGAATGGCAAGCTCTGGGTCCTGCGTCGCCCCGGGTGGAGAGGACAGAAAAAAAAAAATAAATCCCCAAAAGATCGAGATGCGATTCCCGCATGGGTTTAGGCTAGATCCGCGATATCACGGCCGTGGGTGTCCTGGCCCGCGAGGCAGGAAGAATAAGTTCGCCTTGTCAACCTCGAAACTATAGGCTCAGAGGCCCCCAGAAACACCGGATAGTACCGCCGACGTCCGCCGTGATGCACTAGAGCGCCGTGAGTGGGTCCGTGTAGACTCGATGAGGGCCTATATTTAAGCGCCAGCAGGCCCAAATCGGGCCGTTTGACTTGATAACTCAGCGTTTCCCGCCCCCATCCGCCATCCACCACTACCCACACGCCCCCGGGGGGCACAGACTGCCACCCGGTGATGAAGTCCAAGGGGCCCACCCTTTTTTTTGGGTCAATTAATATTCCTTTTATTTTAGTACCATTATGTTATTCTAATATGACCGATTTATTTCCTTTTGAATTTGGTTCGGGAATCATTTGCAACCGATGGCCAACACCAGTGTGGACCAGACGAGCAAAAACGTCAAATTGGCAGCTTCTTGTTAGCGCTGGGGAGGAGAGGGTTAAAAGAGGAATGGGAGGACTGCTAATGAGTAGGGAGGGTGGGCTATGGGCTAATCATACTATCATACTAGGTCATATCAGACTGGAACTGGGCAGTGCGAACAACCCCCCCCCCCCCAAGGCTTCCCGGGTCTGCTTGGCCCGTGATCTTCGAGAGCCAGGCCCGTGAGCCCGTCATCCCCGCCTGGGCTTCCTCTTTCCCCCCTTTTCTGCCCTAGTTGACAATGTTCTATGCAGCTATGCCATGTCGCATTCTGGTTTGCACATATGACTGGTTGGGTATGCAGTCTCTAAGTCATTAAATACTTGTTTGATTCCAACCACCCAACTACTCGCATCTCTACTCTAATTACCATATACTATATATCGTCTCGTTAGTATTAGTTGCTCGGCGATGGAGGTATAACAAGATCTGGGGGGTCTTAGAAGGAGATCATGGCAATCATAGAAAATCCCCCATACATTGACATATTGGCCCCAACTGAAGATCTCGGCCCTGATTCTCCTCCCCCTCGTAGTTCTTGTTCTTTTATCGCCAGACCGATTGGGATAAGATCCACCATCCTTCATGATCCTATCACTTCCCTCGCCTCTCCGGCTCCTCTTCTCTCCGTTTCTCGCAGACAGCAGGACGACATCATCAGGACCCACGAGTCGCACGACAGCAGGATCAGAGGGGGACCGGGGGGCCAGCACATGGGTATGCGGGTAACCCTAGGACTGCAGGCCGGCACAACGGCGCCTCTTGACTGGATGAGAGGCTACCGGGGGTTACTGAGGCTGAAAGGCTACCCGCGCGGGGGCCCAATGGCTTTTCTGCCCGGCGAATTCTCAGCCGGTGGTTAAGCGCTGACCTGCCCAGGCAGGCTATCGGGGCTCGGCATCGTCGACTCTCGGCTCGAGTCAGACCTGCCATTTGCTCGACTTGTGCGTCTTGTTGTTCATCTGGATGCCACCATAAGGACCTAAGACCCTGTGCAGTTCTTTAGCCGCATATTCGATTTAAATGCTGCCCCAAAAGCTGTCAAATGCAAGGAAAGTAAAAGGGTGGGCCATGACTGGACTACAACGGGCGAGGGTTCCTGACTGGGTCATCAACGGAAGCCATCAAAGGGGGCCGATGTTCATTTGGTTCGATGCCACTGTTCCTTATGCTCGCAGTATTTACTAGATGACGCCCCATGCCACTTAATGCTTACTGCTCATCCTCTAGTGGATGCCATGCCACCACGACCAGGTTCTAGTCTAGTCTTCTACTTGTTCTGCGTCCAGAACCCGGGGTCAATCGAAGACTAGTTCCCACCGTCATCTTCAAGTGCTCACTACATCTGTAGTCAGCTCATCAGCCAATACTCTAATTTCTTGCTCCTCCCCTTTCTGACCTTCTATCGCTTCGTAAGAGAAAAAATAATCCCCCACATGGGATGACCGAAAGTGCCATGTCTGGTTTGTTCAATTCAATGTAGATCTGTCCAGACATTCGGGGTATCTAGTGATTCTAAGCGCTCCCGTCACAGAAGAGGACCAGTCTCGCCTCCAGAGCACGACAGGTTCTCCATCGAGAATCTCACTAGTGGACACAAAAGTGCCGCGCGGAATCTTGAGTTGGTGATGGCAAGGGGGCAGATATTCCTGTTGGGTGCGACATCACTAGGACCAGGGCCAGAAAGCATAACAAATGGATTTTTGGATTGACGTCCCCATTTTCCTCCAATCGGGCCCAAAAAAAATGAGGTCAGACTCGCGACAAGGCGAACGGTTTGCTCAGGGGACAAGCCTCTCGTGCATCCGAGCACGTCGAAAGTTGGAGTGTTCTATGATTCTAGTTGTTCCAGTGCTTTGTCTAGCTTTAGGAGGCCATGTCTACTTGACAAATAGTGTGTCTATGTTTTTCTCTACCTGTTCCGTTTTCAGCATTTTATAGACTTTGCAGTTTCGGGAACTCAATCAAGTCGTTCGACAAGTATACAGAGTATTCCCGATATGCAAGGTACACCACAACTTGCTTCCACTTCCACAGCCATCACACAAGCAGCGGTTCAGGCAGGATACATTACATTCTGTGAAGCTTGCAGTTCAAAGTGTCTAATTGGGGATAGTCGATTGATCGACCCAACAACGATGAAACATGAAACATGAAACATGCGACATACACCGACGAACCCACCTCGGACGACCAAACAGGAAATCATGGATCAGCCATAGCACGATCGAGCTACCAAACGACGAACGAGTCTGTCCCTGGATGATCCTGGAGGATCCACACAAGATCGCTCCAGCCTGCTGCCCCCCGGGTACAAAGTGGGTAGGCACTCCGTACTGCCACAGCCTTGGGCAAGTCTCGAATCTCGAGTCTGGAGACTCGGTGCCCCCTGTTACTCCCTATACTCCGCCATTGAGTCCAATCCCAAAACAACTAGGGCTCTGATCCCCACCTGCTCTCGTCCCAAACCTCCATTCTGGTTACTTTTCCGTTCCCCACCATCATGGCTTAGATGGGGCCGGCGTCCACTTGGGGCCAGGCGCCCCTGACTCTATGCACACTTCTGAAACATCGCGTGGTTGATCTGCTTTCCCGAAGCTCTGAATCTGCTACAATGACATACAGGTACCGTTTCGGAGTTTGATATTCTGAGATTTTTGTGATTCACGGACAGGAGGATCATTACTGTCCCGAAAAATCGGAGAAGAAAACAAAGCTTCTTCATTGGTGCGAAGCAAGCTTGCTCCACTGGCCGGCCCGGGGCCCTGGTTGCTTGGTGATTTCGTACATTGCTCATGCACCGTCTCGCACCAATTTCACTGAACAGACTTGCATATGCAGGCTGTGAGCTCGAGGCAGTTCATGCTGCCTCGGGTGGCCCCCGGCCAAGTGAGAGCAAATAACACAAGGTACATGATACATGGTAAATCGGAAATCGGAAATTGAACATGTAGGGAGAGCTATCACCAAAAAAAGGGGGAAAGAAAGGGCTCCAAAAAAAAGGGAAAGACGGTCCCAAAGGACCGATCAGCAAGGGTCGATGGCGACACCTTGAACCCATTCATCCAAGAATCTCTCTCAGCTGCGCGCCCGCCGTCCAGCCGCAGGGTCCAGCGGATCGTCCTCCAAAACACCCTCCAAAGCGTCCTCATCCTCATCGTGCCCGTAGCGCCCGTGCTGCTCCAGGGTATCATCCGCCGCGATTGAAATGCCTCTCGCGCCCCATCGATTATTGCCCCCAGCCGCAAGTCCCTCATTTCCGCTTTCGCCGTGAAACTGCTCCTCCTCGTCGGTTGAGGCCCGCCCGCCCCGGAAGTTGATCACCCGATTGACCAGCCAGCTCTTGCGGAAATCCTCTGAGTCGACAACGCCGCCATTGCGCAGCTTCACGCGCTGCCGCGAGTAGTAAACCCACGCGAAGTCAACGTAGAACGCGGTCTGCACGATGCCGAATATGAAAGCAATTGGGTCCCAGTGTTTCTCGGCGCCGAAGCCGCGCACCAGCCAGTTCAAGATGTAGAAGGCGCGATAGGAACCCAGCGCAACGAGATAGTACGAGTCAATGACAGTGGGTACGGTCGTTTGCCGGAGGAGCAGAAGCTGCGGCAGGACGCAAACTGATTCAAGAATAATCGAGAAGGCCCAGAGGAACTGCGTAGCGAGGGTTAGCCGGAGGGGCTCGGAAAAGCTCCGATGGACGTTGCGGTAAAAGGCACGTCGGTCACAGAGGGTGGATAATAGTTTAGAAATGGGCTGGGAGGAAGATTTTTCTTTCTCTTGGGAATTGTTTGGGTTGGGTTATGTGGAAATGATTGATGCCAATGTCTTTGCGTACCTCCAAGAACCAATGACTGAGCTCATCAGGCTCCAGGGCGGCGATGGATATCGGCGCCAGCACGAGCGACCCGATGACCGAGTAGATACCGAGCTTCCAGGCGCGCTCGCGCTCACGGGTGCGGGGGAACACCTTCATCATGACGAAAATCGTGTAGAAGGCCGAGCCCAGAAAGAACAGCTTGAAACACGCATTCCAGATAACGCTGGCGCCGTAGTTGGCGAACGACCACGTGTTGCTATTGAAAAGGTCCAGATAGCGAGTGACAAACACAAGAGCATAAAGGATCTGTGTGAGGAGCGAGACACCTAGATAAGCAACCCCAGAGTCAGCTTCACCAACGCCCGATTCTCCTCGATCGTGGAAGGTCTTGTCTTGGTTCCAGAGCCCTTGACACTTACCCTCGGCACTTTGATTCTTATGAATAGCCCAGATCAGGATACAAATCGAGGCGAGGTGGGAAATATCCGCCAGGAAGCGAAATACGTTCCACGCCATGGTGGAAGGGATGAGGCGGTTGCGGGGAACCGAAGGGTGACGAGGGCGAGGGGAAGCTCACGGCAAGCCAGTAATTGTCGAGAAAACGAGAGCTTGAAGGTTATTCAAAGCAGCATTGAGGGTTGTGACTCAATATTCCGGTTCGCAGCCTGCGCGTCCCATGAGTCAACAGTCCGTCCCAGCAAGAGGTCGGGGAAGATGAGCTCTCCGCGTTATCGGTGATACAAGCTTGGGCCGCGTGTCCTCACGTGAGGCATGACGTGAGCTGGGGGATCGGCAGGATGTGTGCCTTGTATGCCTGAAGGGGGCCATATAAGGAGACTATATTTAACTCGCCAGTACTCTCCGCTCCTATAAGGAGGGCAATTGACGCTGAAGCCCCTTGTATGATAGAGATGGTCCAATAGCCATGGACTCAGTGCGGTTTAACACCCTTCGCCTTGGCCGATAGCTGTGTCTATCGGGCCCCACAGTATCTTTCAAAGAGAAGCGTGGAAGGTATGGGTAGACGCATCACGACAGATCAATGAGCCCAAAACCAAGATGTCTCCTCGTTGCTACCATGTTACTGATGCTATTCAAATTCATATGCTGACCTTCAATCTTAGATTTGCCCTGACAAAAAACGGCTTTGGTGATTCTACACTGAGGACTCTGTAGCAAGGGAACAACTCACAAGCAGTTGCGGGACTCAAACCGTGTTTCCCACTTCGATAAGAGACCTCGTTGCTTACACTCCTCATCTCGAAGCTGAGGCAGTAATGTTCTTATGCATCCAGCATAGTCTTTAAGATTGGCATCCAAGACTTGTGACACCTGATAAGACCACTATCGCGATAAGGTTGCAGGTCGGATAATCATGGGCACAGGCTTGTCCTCGAGATCATCGCAAACGCAACGGTCGCTTCGATGTGTCTTCCCATTTTCCCATCCATCAGATAAGAGACAGACAAGAGACAGACAACCTGACCCATCGAGAGTGATTCAATGCTACCAGACATATCTGAATCAACCTGCTCAGGTCTCAAAACCGAGACGGCTACTCTGCCAGACCAACCTTGCACTCAATCGGTATCGGAGTCGATAAAGCGATAAGATGAACCGACTTCGTCAACTCCCGTCTTGATGTACCCACATTCACGCCTTATAATAACAGCAGATATGGTTCTGTTTAAGAAATCCATGAATCCGTGGGGGAGTCCCGGCCATCACTCCCCTCATTGCTACCGAGACAGCCACATTGTTTCGACGAGATGCAGGATCCCTGCGCGGACCATCCCCCTCCTCCACGAGTGCATGAGTGCAGGATGGCGTTGCCTTCGGCCCTTCCAATTGGGCCCGGCGAGAGCGATCTCGCCTTTCCGCCCCTGCTGTCTGGCTTGCCAATTTGGGACGTCAGTGCTGAATTGAGATTCTATCGGAGACCAGGCCATCCACGGGCAAGGCTCCTTGACGAGGGAACCGAGCCCTATCGAGAATTCGGGTTCCGTCTTTCTTTTTCTTCGGATAGAGTCTCTCAATGTTGATTATCTGCGTAGACGGACTACTGTGATACGAGAGCTCGTCCTCGGCCTTACCATTCGACGAATCCCAGAGACAAAGAGGGGAAGAGGGGCCGTCGTGGCTGCACACGAAACCGACCTGTGGCTTGACCTTGAACCCGCCAAGTCTCGGATTGGACGGAGGCCAGAACAAGTGTAGCTACTGCCTGCAAAGCAACTCTTGCTGGCTGTTCTGGCGATGTCCGCCATGCGGCTCGAGCGGCCTAGCACTGTCTGGCTGCGCTGGCCGTCGAATTCAGGCCGTCCGTCTTTCCATAGGAAGTCCCCCCTCCATCCTCCTTTCTGCTGGGCCTGTTCCCCGTGGGGGTTGGATCTTGTTTTTTCCTTTCCCTACCGTGATCCCTCGCACGGTGAGAGCTGGCCGGGTCGCCGGATTCTGGAACAGGCCACTCGCGGAAACTCTTCGGCCCAAATGTCTCATGGAAGCGTCCGGGACGTGGACCATCCTGCTACTGCAGAGATTTCCCTCGTCGGCCGAATTGGAGCGCAGCACGAGCCACTTGTGACAGGGCGCCCCGGGATCGGTTCCTAGAGTGACGAACGGTGGGTTGTGGAATGCACCGGAGAAGGGGGGTGGTCGGGGAAGGTGGTTGGTGTGGACCAGGTGGTTTTGATGCTGATTCCAGTCTTCTGTCGTTTTGTTTTTCTTCCTTTCTTCTGGCATTGGTGCCATGCGATGCGCCTTGAAGATGATGTATATCCTTCTCGTGGGGTGGAGCTTGTGGTGTATCCCATATGAAGCAACGGTCCGAGGTCGATGTTTCCCAAGCAAATAGAGCAGAGAAAGGGAGGCAGGGAGACATGGTGAACTAAACTTGCGAGGACCAGGCTTTGGTAGTCTTTCGTTCTTCGTATTCTGGTATTCTTGGTTCCCTCAAGGGTCTAGAATGCAGAGTATACTCACGGCCATTTCGAATCTAGAACCATAGACATCCGTCTGGAATTCCGCCTTTAGCCAATCCATGATTACCTTAAGACTAAGATTTTAAATTTCGCAGAATCCATAAGAAGATCAACTCAATCCCATCGCCACGAGGGCCGGGGCCGATGGCGTTCTGTCATTCGAGCCATGGAGTGTCCGCGACGCAGAGCAGAGCAGAGCAGAGGAAATAAGATGTGACGCTCTCCCCGCTCCCGCGCTCCTCCACCCCCCTTTGGTCTTCCTCTTCTCTTCATCTCCATCTGGACTCAACCAACCTCCTCCATCCAACCCTCTCTCCTCTTCTCCTTCGTCCCCTCGTCCCCTCGTCCCCTCGCCTTACCTTCGCCTCTTCGCCTCTTCGCTTCGCTCTCACCCTCGGCTGCTTCCAACCCCCCTCTCCAGCCTCATGTTCTCCCCATACTCGGAGGAATTCGAGGTCCCTGATTCGACACTTCGACCATGCGATTTTGATCTGTGAGCACCACTTCCCTTCTTCTCGAGTCCTCGAATCCACTTCATAGGAGTTCATCACTCCGGTCGGACCAGAGCTATTTGCATCCAGCTTCTGCTCAGCTAGCTTGCTTGAGCTGCCGGCTCTGTTCCTACTTGACTTCCCTCTCCCCATCTTCCTGGCTTGATCTTGTCTATCTCGTCGGTCGCGTCTCGTCGGTCGCGTCGTCCGATCTTCTTGCCACTTCTCTGTCTCTTCTCTGCTACCTGCTGCTGCTGCTGCCGCTCCGGTTCTCCTGGTCCCCAACTCCGATTCTGCCTAGGATGCGCCTGTGTCATCGTCGTTTGGTGTAACGAGCCCGCTTTCCTAGAAGTTGACCATGGCGCGCCTGTAGCAGATCTGCTAACCCCTACGCGCGGCCCCGTGTGTATGTACAGATGAATCGGCGTGTGATTGAAACCTACGTCTTTCACCATGTCGTAAGTCTTGCTCGTCTGTGATCTCCATCCGGCTCCTGTGCTGCGGGAGGGAGACTTGTGGAAGAGAGACTGAGAGAGAAAGAGAGAGAAAGCCGGTCTTGCCTTGCTCTTCACATCTCGCGCGTTCCCAAAACCTCTTTCGCGTTGCTATTCACAGCGTCTCACCTGCCCGTCTGCAGATCAACCCTGCAATCTTCTTCCTCCGGCTCTCACTGACATTTGTTTCTTTGAACCTCAGGTCTCCTCCGACGTCCAAACGAATCAAAACATCGGCCACAAGTAGTGCCCCGCCACACCTTCTGGCTCAACAGCAAATCCATCCTTTTCACCGCGTTCCAACCTTTGAGGGCATCCCTATCCCGACGGCGCCCATCCCCCAACAGCAACAGCAAGCACAACAACAGCAGCCTCCGCCGCCACAACAACAGCAACAACAATCCTCAACTTCCCGCAAGCGCCCCCCGTCCCCAGCGACTGGCTCCACCATGATGGCCACCCCGATGAACCCTGCGGGTGGTACGATCGAGGGCGATCCTAATGCCTTGGCACCGGCTGCAGAGCCCACCCCTAAAAAGAAGGGTCGTACTAACACGCCCTGGACAGCTGAGGAGGAACAGCGACTGAAGACCATGCGCGACGCTGGTCGGAGTTGGAGCGAGATTGCGAAGGTGAGGGCATATTTCGATGATTGCCCCATTTTGTTTGGCGGCGGGACTGTCGTACAAATTTCCTGGATCTAACATATGCTCTCTTTGACGCGCCACAGACCTTCCCTACGCGAACTGAAGGCAGTGTTAAGAAGCACTGGTACAAGGTATGCATCCTAGATACCCAAATTCTCCTTGTCACATTCTGATTAGTATGCGCAGGATATGCATTATGCGGAATTCGCTGAGGATGAGGTATGATTAAATCTTGCACTATCGTGCTCTTGCGCCCTTTGCGCCATTTGTGTTGAACTCTTTCTCACTGGCATGTGCAGTCCATAAAGCTTCGCGATGCAATTAAAGAATACGAGGCCAATAAGTGGAAGGTTATTGGACAGAAGGTTGGCAAGCCTGCCAAGGTGAGTCCTCCTATTTTTTCCATGTCATAATCTTATTTTCGATATGGGCCGCTGACTCCATTTGTATCAGGCTTGCGAACAATACGCCAAAGAGCACTTCAAGAACCTTTGAGTGCCTGATGAACCCGCTGATGAAGTGATGATTGATTTTCTCTACCTGCTTTTGTTCTTATCTCCTTCGGTGATGCATCATTCATGAATTTGGCATTCCCCCGGATTCTGCAATTCCATAGCGATGCAGTGTCGTCAATGGCCTAAAAGCCACTGATTTTACAAGGCAGATGGAGTTGGTGATCTGGTCTCTTTTGTTTGAATTTTCTCTTTTTATTCACGCCTCCGATCTGCTCAACTTACCCCATTGATGTTGCCTGGATCTGAAATATCTGTTCTTCTTGCGCTCAGGCGTTTTCCCTCCTGTGTTGGTGTCATGGGCTTTGTTCAACTCTTTTTCACATTTCTCTTTTTTTTATCTTCATTTCCTTTTTATGATCAATATTTGATGAGTCCCCAGACCGATATCTCAGTAATTTCTATCCACTCCACCCTCGGGCGGTTGAAATAGACCTAGTCCAGAGTCCATAGAACGCGCTGGCCACGATAAGGGCGGGCCCGCCGATCTGGCGGAGGCGGAAAACCGCCGAGAATGCGGGTGATTCAAGGTTTTCCCCGCGGCGACAACTTTTTCCCTCCCTCCACATGTTTTCTCTTCCAACACGCAATTGTTGCACCGGTCTCTCAGTTGCGCCCTGGGTCTCATATACTCAGGCATTAAACCCTTGAGGTAAATCACTCTTTCCTTCCACTGCAATGAACCATATCCGTCAACTGATAGATCCCCCACCCCCGACCCGCCACCAGTCTGTGTCCCGCTAACACCCAAGTTGCCTCATAGTGACTCATCTAGGTGACACCGACCATCGTCTGGCTTGCCCCTTGTTAGATGACCGAGTACTGGCCCCATATTCACACCTCCTGGCTATCATGAAGACGAGTAGCAAGGAATTGTCTAGTAATCAAGGTACCTTTCTGGTTCAAAAACCGCCTGCATGAAGACCGGTGTTCGGCCGCGGACTTAGGCCCATGAACGCGGGGTGCATGCGAGGCTGCATTGTGCTCTTGTTCATCGGTCCTGGCCCGCCGCCGTTCTGAGATCATACGGTTGAACTTGATCTGGATAATTCCAGCGAAAGGAACTCATGCACGCACCTACCTCCGCGCCTTTTGTCCCTTGCGCGACTTCAATTTTCTCTGGTGGGAGGAAGGGAATAGACTAACAAGTTTCTTTACAGCATGCCTATCGAACATGAAACCGCTGCGGTAGCGGCGCAGAACGAGAAATCGAACGACATCAAGACCATACAGTCGACAGACCAGCCCGTCGCCGGCGAGGACAAGCCGCATGCCGATGTGACATACCCACCCGATAATGCGAACCGTCGCAATCCTGCCGGCACACGTCTAGGCTCGCTGCTCAGAGCCTTTGAACAGCAGCTTGTCGAATATAACCTGGAGGCGCGCGGCATTGAGCGAGTGGCAGCGGATGAGCGCATGAAGCGACTGTCATGGGTATCGTACCTGCAGGCATTCTTGCTATGGGTTTCAATCAACCTGGCGGCGAACAACATCACTCTGGGGATGCTGGGGCCTGCTGTCTATGGGTTGAGCTTTAAGGACTCAGCCCTAACGGCAGTGTTTGGCACCCTTGCGGGTGCCCTGGTGGCGTCGTGGATGGCTACTTGGGGTCCGATCTCGGGGATCAGAACTATGGTATGTTGAGGCGGTTCTTCTGCTCAATGGGAACAAGTTGTTTATGCTAAGTGCATCCGATTAGGCCTTTGGTCGGTACTCGATGGGTTGGTGGCCCAGCAAGATTATCGTTCTGCTGAATCTCATCCAAATGATTGGATACTGCTTGATCGACTGTGTCGTCGGAGGTCAGATCTTGTCTGCTGTTTCGCCGGGAGGCATGTCAGTTGCTGTGGGTATGTATGGTCGTGGTCTGTGGCACTTTGAAAACTCGCTGGTCTAACTTCAGATTGATAGGAATCGTGATCATTGCCATCATCAGTTGGGTAGTTGCAACTTTTGGCATCCAAGTTTTCCATTACTATGAGCGGTAAGCTCTCCTCTTATATCCACCTCTTCCCCTCCGTGCTTTGTTGCTAATATATGGATAACCAGCTTCGCTTTTCTCCCCCAGCTGATCGTTGTATGTATCCTCTTTGGCGTCTCGGCTACGAAATTCGACCTGTCCACAGTTTCTGAGGGCGATTCCCGAACGGTTGCCGGTAACAGGTCAGTTCATAGATCAACCAGCAACATTTTTAAATACAGGCATAATTAACACCTTTCAACTTTAGGCTATCGTTTTTCTCCCTCTGTCTCAGTGCAGCAATTACCTATTCCCCGCTTGCGGCAGACTTCTTCGTCTACTATCCCGAGCACACATCGCGCCTCACAATCTTTACCCTCACCTTAGCTGGCCTCCTATTATCCTTCACCATGGCTTTAGTGTGCGGCATCGGCCTCGCCTCCGGAATCAGCTCCTACCCTGAATACGCCTCCGCCTATGATCGTGGACAGGGGGCCCTCATCGTGGAAGGCTTCGGTCCCCTCCACGGCTTTGGCAAGTTCTGCTCCGTCATCATAGCCCTGGGCCTGATCGCCAACACCGTCGCTCCCACTTACTCCTCCGGCGTGGACTTCCAGATCCTCGGTCGCTACGCGGAGAGAGTGCCGCGCGTGATCTGGAACACGGTCGGCGTCATCATCTACACTGTCTGCGCCCTCGCGGGCCGCAGCAACCTTTCCGACATCTTCACCAACTTCCTCGCCCTTATGGGCTACTGGGTGGCCATTTGGTTCGCCATCATTATCGAGGAGTTTTTCTTCTTCCGCTTCCGCACCGGTTACAACTGGGCCGCGTGGCGTGATCCCTCCAAGCTGCCCATCGGCATCGCCGCTTTCATCGCGTTCGTCATTGGCTGGGCCGGCGCAATTTTGTGTATGGCCCAGGTCTGGTATATCGGCCCCATCGCGAAGCTGGTCGGCGAGTACGGCGCTGATATGGGCAACTACGTCGGCTTTACCTGGGCGGCGGTCGTGTATCCCCCGTTGCGGTATCTAGAGCTGCGCTTTATTGGCCGGTAGGTGGCGGTTCCGCCAGCACCGCAGCGAGGAGAAGTCACCGTCGAAAGCTGTATGATTTTGTAACGCTTTTACGGCCTGTTTCAACCCGGCAATGGTTTCTGAGCCATGTAATCCTCGGGTGTATATATGATCATATGATGCAGGCGAGCCGTTCAACACGTTTCCATGGGCTCGTATAGAGGAGGGTAAGAGTGTGTCTGTTATATTCTTGTTCATCGCGTTTGCTTTCAGTGGGAGCTGGTTAGAGTCCCATTTTAGTAAAAAGTTACACGACTTGGAATGTCGGTTTAATATATAAAGCATTGAATTGTCCAATCCTCCAAATGAATAGAAGCACCTTAAGACACTCATCTACATGTCCATTCACCCTTCAGTGACCAGCTCTCGTTGGCAGAAATTTACAGCCAATCTTCCCCCGGAACTATTCATCCAAGACCAGGCACAAAAAGAGACCAGACAGTATTAGTAAAAAAGTACACCTTCCATCGGCACTCTTCATTTTCATCCACTAGAGAACTATTCTACAAAAGAGACGCGAGAAAGCCCGAAGGGCCGGACAAGACGCAGATACAGACACACACACACATGCTCGCTCGCCGATTTATACTGTATCAAGGATTTTCAGAGCGTGGACCGCGCTTACCGGTACCAGTACTCGGGCTTAACGTAGTCGGCGAAGGTCTTGGGCTCCTCGTGGGGAGGGTGGTGGCCGTGGTCGTGGCCGTGACCGTGATCATCTGCGAGGAGGGTGGGTGAGTAATGTGTACAGAGAGAAAAGTGACTAAGGGGGGTACGGGACAGGAGACGGGAAAGTAGAGGGGAAATGGGTTTGATGCACGTACGAGCGTGGGGGTCCTCCTCGGGACCGACGTAGTTGAGCTTGACGACGTTGCCGCACTCGTTGCAGCGCTCGATGGGGCGCTCGCGGGAGACCTGGCAAGGGGGCGGGTTAGTTTTCCGATGGCTCAACTTGAGAGGAGCTAGAGGTTTGGGGTGCGACGTACGGTCAGCCAGTTGACCTGGTGAGAGTCGGCGGGGAAGCCGGTGCAACCAGCATACTGCTCATCACCGGCACCGTTGACAATGATGGGGTTCTCGAGGGTTCCTATGCGCGTGAAGGCAGTCGTCAGCAGTTGGCTTTGGGGCTATATCAGGGTGCAGGATAGTGACGATAGGCGCCAGATAAACGCAAGTCGCTCAATCAGAGTCGCACATACCCTTGCGGGAGGCATCAAGGGGACGCATGTCGAAGATATCAATGCCCTGCATCTTTCCGATAAGCTCGAGACGCTCAAGACCGGTGGCCTGAACGAAGTCGGTCGGGACGGTACCGGGCTTGGCACCCGGGGGAAGGAGGTCATCCTCGTTCTTGATCTCTGGGATTGGTGAAAAGATAAAAGTCAGTTTTGTTTCTTGGGCAGAGTGGTTCGCAGCATCCGAGCAACTCGTAGCCAGCATGACTCGATGGAGAGGAATTATCGATCCATGTTTCCGACATTTGGTGCCACCTGCAAAGCTCAATTGGTGGATAGGTGTAAAAACAATGGACAGGAGGAATCCTTCTTCGATATCAAGGGCAGAGGCGGAGCAATTGGTCGCTGCGAAGCTGGGGAAATGACTAACCCTCGAAGGAAAGGACCTTGCCCTCATCCTTGGGAGCCCACTTCTTCTCGTTGCCTATTTGAAGACAATTCGCGTTAGCTTATGATCGTAACGGCAAGATTCAATCTTCCATGAGTGGCCAAAAGGTGTGCTGAACCCCAATTGAGTCGGGGGGAGGAGAGGTGACATAGGTCGGGGGAGGTCGGATCAGGCCACTGGGGGAAGATCACATACTGCGCACGATGGACGAAGAGAACGGGCGCTGAGCAAGAGTAAAGGCGCGGGCGGGCGAGCGCCGCGCGATAGCGGACGCAGTGCGTTGAAGGAACATCCTGAGAGCTAGGGAGGATGGAGTGGAGGGGGAGGGTTTGGGGGAAAGGCGAGAGTTTGGAGGTTTGAGGTTGGGCGAGTTTGAAGCCGCTTCAGCCCGTGGGCCTGTGATTGGCGCATTTCGTGCACCAATGGGCCGCGGGTAATGTGGATGACTCAGCGCATGATTGGCTGATTCTACGGGGCACGATATCGACCATTAATGTACTATCCGCTTTCGGCGAATCAGGGCTTAGGGCTCAGCCAGGCCATGGGGATGTATACAAAGAACGAAAGAGGAAGTTGAGAAAGCCAGCCGCAGACCGTGAACTTGACTGATAGCAAAACAGATCTAGACAGATGGAGATCAACAATATCAGCGGCGAATCATTGTCACGCCTGTCACTTATGATCATCAGTACCCTCTTTGTTGACGGATTCGAGTCGGGCATGGCGTCCACCCAATGATCAGATTCGGTCTTTGAGAGACAGTGCAGGGTCCCTAGCATTCCCAGAATATCATTATAATGAACATGATATTATTATTAGAATTGACCTGTTTCAGGATGTATTCTCTGTTTCACACGGTGCTTGAAGCTGTGCAGTTCTCCAGCATATACGCACATAAAGAGGTCACCAACGGCTGGATAGGAAAGTCAAGACAGCATATGGTGCTGGAACCCTTCAGTGTCACTTATCTCAATGAGCCGTCTTTCCTACTTTGGCCTCTGTGGGCTCCTCATCATCACGAGTACAACAGCTTTGCTTAGTTCTGCATCTGCGCCGACTACAACAACCCAGGGGTCTCTCGATACCCAGACCAGCTCTACTCTCTCGGCGGGACCAGATGGCATCTGTTACACATATGTGGTTCAGGGTGGGGATACTTGCGCGCGAGTTACCCAGAAGTACCATTTGACGGCCGCGGACATCAACCAGTACAACGCCAACAACTGGTTATGGAAAGGCTGTGACCTCATCGCTCAGGGAGACTTCATCTGTCTCAGTCCCGGCGATCCTCCGATGCCAGTTGCCCTCGCCGCTGCGGTCTGTGGTCCTCAAGTTCCTGGCACGGTCCGGCCGAGCACCTGGTCTGACCTGGCGTCGTTGAATCCATGTCCGTCAAAGAATGACTGTGTAAGCTTTCTACTCGGCAATCCGCAAATATAAGATCATGCGTCAACTAACCCGTTTACATCCAAGTAGTGCACAATAGGCGGACAGTGCGACTCAACTGATTTTTGGTGTGGAAAAAGCGATCGGTGTATCTCCAACTGCGGGATCAAGACCAAAACGACCAAAGCAACCACGGCGACCACGACCAAACGGGCTTCGACCACGACCGACGCAGTATCAACTTCCACCGCGGCCGAAACCACTACACATCATACAACAACGACAACCAGTGCAGGCCCAGAATGGACACTAGTTGCCTACGAAGGTAGTACATGTGATAAAGATTACTATGTATTGAAGGGCTCCAAATCCGAGGACCAAAAATGTGTCAATATTTTTGGCGGCACCACCTCGACTATCTCAGACCAGGGAGTGTACTGCAAAAAATACTCCAATGGTGGATTCGATTCAGCCGACTGCAATATCGATGATGAGGCTTCGATCCTGTCATGGACATTACACAAAGGCGTTTGTAATGTGTCGGATCAGAAATGCGGCGAGGGCGGCCATGCTCTGAACGTGCAGCCTCAAGACACATGCAATGCCAAGAATCCTACTCAAATGCGCTGGCAGTCCTTAACCTGCATGGTCACTGCTTAGTCACATCTGATCGAGAGTGTTGCGGTGAACCAAGATTGGAATAAATGCTGTTGTCGGATCGACGCTAGGATCTATCTTATACTAGTCTATGGGGACACATTGGAAAGGACGGTGCAATTCCAGAGTCGAAAGTCGAAAACTTATAGAAATTCAACATAACCTAGTGCTCACTGAGTAAATAAATTCCATAAACTGATATTTGTTGACGGAATTCAATACGAGAGTCCGTCTAGTCATCTCTTCACGGGTGTAGTTCGTGCATGTCACTATATATCTATTTATACCTCTAATTAGTATTATCGGGCTCTCCACCCGCCATTATTTCCTGATCGAACAGACAACTCCAAAGCAATATTTCAGCGATGTCCACTTCTCCTCCCTGTATGCCAGATAGCAGAATGGCCGGCAACCGGCATCCAGAAAACATATATCTCTATAGAAAAGAGCCACCGAGCAACCGAAGTGATCAACGCGGTCACGGGAAGTGAGGCTGAAGCGGGGTAGGGTGGTTTAGTCGTTTCGGGGCCGAACCCCCGGTGATCATCCCAAATCCCGGCGCGAACAGAAGTTCCTGCACTTGATTAAAGGATCATCTAACGCGACTCGTGCAGCGCGATCCCTCTTATCCTCCCTCTTCCCCCTTACCGTGCGCCGGGTCCCGGTTCAGATTCGGGCCGCACCTCAGGCGACACAACCCGACCCGGGTCGCACACGATGCCCGGGAAGCGCATCGTGGTATGCTTGGACGGGACCTGGGTCAACAGCGACGAGGGCTATAATCGGCCTTCTCTATCCGACCCAAATTTCACGCTCCAGGTCCCGTCCAATGTGACACGCCTCTATCGAGCACTGCAGAAAAAGGGGCTGGACGGAAAGGGACAGGTCATCTACTATCATTCCGGCGTCGGGACGTCGGGAACCCTCAGCGATACAATCGCCGGAGGTGTTTTTGGAGCCGGGGTTGGCGAAGTGCGTTAAGTCTTTGAATTACAAGTTGATGAACATGGAGGGTTTGAAAATGTCTGACGGAGACAGAACATCCGGGAAGCATATAGTTTCATTGCAACCAATTATGAACCCGGGGATGAAATCATTCTCGTGGGCTTCTCTCGGGGCGCGTTCACGGCCCGTAGCGTGGCAGTAAGCATTCCAGTCTCTTTCCATCTGGCAAAGTCATGATTCATGGTGAAATTATGACAGGGCCTCATTATTGAAATCGGTCTATTGACCTCGCGAGGAATGGAGTATCTCTATCCGATATTCAAGGATATCCAGAACATCCAAGACCCGGAATACAAGGATAAATTCCCAGGGGTCCCATTCCACGACAAGCCCTTTGATGCGCGGGGGTACCGGCGTCGCTTGGAGGAAGTAAGGAATCTGATCGCCTCGCTGAGATCTGAATTCTGAGATTTGTCTTTTTTTTGGACGCCTTGCTAATGTTATGCACAGGAGAGTCTCACCCGTCTTTATGACCCCGATGGATACCGCATCAGAGTCCGCTGTGTAGCTGTTTGGGAAACTGTGGGCAGTCTAGGTAGCTACTATTTTCAACATCTAATGTGCTACGAATACTTTCTACGATGTTTATGCTTCTAACCTCTATGTCCAGGTATTCCCGACACCAATCTATCCAACAAGCTCAAGATACCTCGCTCCACTGAAGAATAAGTACCAAATTTCCCTCCGCACCTCGAAAAATACTGACAGCTCCTGCACATGGAGGTTCTACGACACATCCCTGTCCAACGGTATCGAGCACGCGTTTCAAGCCCTCGCCCTCGACGAGAACCGCACGTCCTTTGCTCCCGCCGTGTGGGAGCGTCCTCGCAACGTCCGCACCGACCTCCGGCAAGTCTGGTTCTGTGGCGCCCACTCCAATGTCGGCGGTGGCTTGCCCGACCAGGAGCTCGCAAACATCTCCATGGCCTGGATGATGGATCAGCTGGCTTCCATCGGCGTCGCCTTCGAAGACGACACCATCGACCGCCTCTTCGCTGAAAGCGTCGTCTATTTCTACGACCACGCCGCGGACCCGGCCACCCCGGACTCGTCCCGACACCGCCGCTGGACCGAATGGGCCCTGCCGTCCATCTACGAGGAACATGAGCCTGTTCGGCCGTGGGGACTTGGCGAGATAGTCCAGCCGGATACCGGCTTCTACCGTCTGGCCGGCAAGACGACGCGCACGCCGGGTCTATATCGCCGCGTGGACCCCGATACCGGCCTACCGACGGAGGACTTTCTGCGCAGTACGAACGAGCGCGTGCACCGGTCTGTCCGGGTTCGACTCGCCTTGGAGGGCTTGTCGTATGACGATAAGGGGCTGTACAAGTGTCGGGCGCTGCTCAAGAAGGGGCCCTGGGAGATTAAGCGCTTGCGTGTGGTCTCGCGCCATGAGACGCGTGACCGAGATGCGTACGGTGACGAGGAGGCCGTTATTGAGCGGAGTCAGGATTATCGCTGGGGCTGGGTCTACGCCGGGCCTGTGGAGGACACGCCACCGGAGACGGTTTTGATGGAGGAGTCGCTGGGTCCGTATGAAAAACGGCTGCTCCACCTAAATAAAGGTTAGTGTTGGGTACTTTTTGAGTCATTTTGCTTGAGTTATTTTAGGGAAGGAAGAAAGTTCTTCGCTGCGAACGATCGCAGAAAATCGGGGAGTGGATGCTAATTTTGTTTGCCTTAGGTCGGCCGTTTTATAGAGCAATCCTACGGGGAAATACTCGGTAAAAAACAGGTCGGGGCAACGAAGCGAAAATGTGAATTTATGTACATTGTACCATGTGACTGAGGGCTTTTGGATGATACACCCGGTTTTTTGAACTGCATTATTTTACCTTGCTATGCCCTTGTTATAGCACTGCCTACTAATACTAAATCTCGCATCCAACATACATTTAGCCGCCGTTCATATAATAGTAGATGTTTTTATTCGGCCGTTTCTATTTTTGACATGATACACCAATGGTACAGCAAGATAGGCGCTGCTGCGTCGTACATGAAATCAAGGAGGGGGGGAATGAAATAAAAGGTTGGAATATAGGTAGGTGGGCACCTGAAAAGAAGGAAACTATACGCCCAGGGTATCTCCATTATGGGCTGGCCCCAGCCCTTCCGCGCCATGGATTGAACCCATGCTATCGTGCATCCTATCGTGCATCGAACCCATACCATCATGAATGGGAACCATACTGTCGTGAACAGGACCCATGCTATCATGCGCTGAATCCAACCCCTCGTGCACGGATTCTAAAGAATCCTCCTCCTGGGCTCCATGTGCACGCTGAGCTGCCCCCTGCGCCTGGGCAACGAGGTCATACTGTGTGGCCTGTTCCCGGCATGCTGCAGGCGTAAATCCATTCCCGACCTTTGCGGCGACAATGCGCCACCTGTCGTTTTCGTAGTCATTCACTGCCCTTACAAGTCGTTGCGTCTGTAAATATTGGAGTTAGGATAATGTACTTGTAGGGTTGAAGAGGTGGGAAGACTAGAATACCATTTCATCTGTCCAGATCACATCCTTCGCCTTGAGCTTTGTACAGTAGCGCACCTGTAAGGTGCCGCTGGTCCGGCCCGGGAAGAAGTCCGCTATTTGCTTCCACGTTAAGTTCTTATCCTCCTTCAGCTCGACCAATAACGCATCTTCTTCGGGTGTGAACTTGAGCTTGGGGCCCCGCGGCCTCGGCGCCGGCTCTGGCATCCCTGGCTGGCCTACGACAGTCGGAGGGCCGCCGGGGTAAGTAGGTGACAATGACTCTAAGCCTCGGTGGTCTGTGTAATGAGAAGGAAGGCGGTGGTGATGTTGTTGGGGCAGTGGGAGGGAGATCGTTGTGCCATAGCCATGGTTTGTGGGAGGCAGAGAGGTGAGAGAATCGTGATGTACAGAGAAAAGCATGTCTGTTGGCTCAGACCCAGACACCTGGCCATCCATAGAGAGTGTCGGCAAGGATTCGCGGAGTCTGATATGGCGATCGATACTGCGGTCCATGGCGCGGTCATGGTCTACCTCGTGCTCGATGGAGCGCCTCCGCTTCCTGCTCTCTTCTGATGCGAGGTCATAGACATAGGATGGTAGATGACGAGGGATCATCTGTTGACCCGAGAGATAGGCGGATGAAGATTCATGATGGCTGTGAGCCTGTGGTGCTGGATGGGGGAGCAAAGATGCCGCTGTCACCTGCGAATGCGGCGACTCATAGGGAGGGTGTGTAGTGTCGGGTGGAAAAGGGAGTCCTGTCAGTTTGGGTCGTGTATCGAATGAAAGCAAATCTTGGTCATCGGTCTTGCCCGCATTGGAGTAGTTGATTGCGAAGCCTCTGTAAGGGTCCGCCAGTGTTACGGACATACATCGACCTTGCCAGGGAAGGCCCTGGCTGGTACGTTTCTGTTAAGAGAGTGACGATGACTGAGGACGGTGAGATCTGACTACTCTCTAGAGCGTGATGTAGCTCAGCTCCTTGCTTATATCATAGAAGTCTATTCAGTGAACCTTGAGGAATGGTTGAGGTTGAGGATGTGAATGGAGTGTCGTGGGCCAGGTCGGATGGCTTCACTGATCTGAAGGGAGTGCTAGATACGTCGGCTCGCCGTATTAGAAAGATGCGGGGCCCTGAAAGGATGCAAAAGAAAGGTTTGTGTAAGATAAGGGATACAAGAAGAATAAAATATTGCAATATCGGGAGCAGGGGTAGTAAAATAAGATGTGTCCAGGTGGAGGGCGTCGCATCTTTAAGACCATTCGGAGCGCGCGTCTGGTTCCGGAGGTTTGCAGCACAGCCTAGGCGAGAGCATTTCGTGCGCAAACTCATCAGCTGGGTCGTGCGCAGCCAGGGTTGGCTTCGTTGGGCTTCCAATGGAAGGAAATGAAAGAGGCGGTTGTCACCAACAGGGAGGGAGTAAAAAAGGAAATCAATGGTCCAAGTGTCCCAAAAGCGCGCTTTTCTCACCTCTGGCACATAGGGCAGGCCCACCTTCATCCAGAGCCCCCTCCCCCCACTTACACAGTAGGATTGTCCAACATCACTTTGTGCGCAATGTCTCAACCGCTTCCCATGAAACAAACAAGGAGTAGGGGGGTGGTGTGGATTAGTGAACAGGCCCCGGCCATGCGGAAGAGACGATACCAGGGTGAAGGGAAAGGGGGGAGGGGGGTGTAAGGTGAATGCCATCAGAAGCGAGTTATCGGAATGCACCATGCCCGGCAGGAGCCGAGAAAGGGACGCCCGTCAGATTGACATCAAAAGAGTGCGGGCAGCTTGACAGGGGGGGTTCTGTTCACCGGGACGTGGTTCCATTGCAAGCACCGCAAGCTCTCCGTGCCAGGCAGGGAGGGCGAGAGGTGGAAGAGGTGGGTAACTCCCTTGATCGACCAATAGCTTCCATCCGAGTTGGCCAAAGAAGCAACATCGACGGCCTATTCCTGCCTTGTGCCGGGCTGCCATGGTGCGCCAAGGCCTGCGGATCAATCACAACAAGACCAGAGAGACCCGAAGGCTGTCCGGACCAGGGTTAGCAACATCGAATCTCACAGGCTTGCCCATGACTTGGTGTCCTGGGGGTGTTTTCTGCTTCCACCTCCTCGACAGCGCCGTTGGTGTGAAGAGCGGGGAGGCGCACACATGGGGAATCCAACCCAACTCCAACTGCGCCAAAAAAAAACCGCGGCCGGTCTTCAGGCTCTCTCAAGAGATCAGCGCACTGCCGCCGTACATTAGTGGAGCGGAGATGCCGAGGCATAAAAACTGGAAGACCTGGACATCCTTGAGAGACGAGAGTTCAAGGGACTCTATCAGAAGCGCATCAGTGCATCAGTCCACCGATGCATAGCTGTGCCACCTTTTCTGGGGCAGCTTTGGAGCAAGTGGGGGGAGGGGCCGCGAGGGAACGGGTGAGTCGGTGCTGGACTGCATCCGCCCTTAAGCGGGTGCGCCTCGTTCACAAATCTCCACGGAAGAAGTGAATCATTGATCTGGTTGGGCAGGGTTGACATGCGTGGCTTTGCTTGTTGTGACAGAATGACAGCTTCAGACCCCCTGGCTCCCCTTAGCGGGGATGGTGAACGGGCGAGCAGGGGGGGCCGTTATAGTGGGGATCGGGCCTCCGATGAGAGACCATAAGCGCGCAATCACCATCTGTGGATTCTCGGATATCATGGAACCTTCTTTTGGGCTTGATGGCGCAATGCAGATGCAGGAATGAAAAGGTAAGAAGGAGATGAAGTGCATGAAGAGGAAACCGAACCAGGGTCACGGGAAACCTTGTGACCAGCGCATCATTGCAATGTTGACCAACTGCCCTTTCGAGCTCGTATTGTCAAGAGTCTGCAGCTAATTGGCATTATGGCTGCTTCTTTATTTCCTTTTTTCAGATTATTTTCAAGAGTTGGATTAACTCTGATGGTTTGGGTTCCGCCCTATCAAGCCCCAATCCTCTTCTGATTCATCGCTCTAGGACTTCCCCGACCCCGGACTCGTCCCGGGTCCATTTTGTCTCCTCCATCTTCACAGTCTCTACAATCTATACAGCCCCTATTTCAGATATGCCACACCCAAATGACTAAATAACAAAGTCTGTCGCTGTTGGGTCAGAATCCGGGCTTTATCTACATCGGGCCTTCCATCTGACTTGGATTGGCCCCGGCCTCGATCTGATCAACAAAGTATTTCCATGTATCCGATCCAGGATCCAACCTTCTCTCCTTCCTTCAGATCCATTATCTCACCAGCAGACGAGCATTGGGCGCATATGGAGCCACTTGAGACCCTGTTCAGCGGCTGAGCGATCTGGATTTCGGGTTTAGATGTTGTCACCAAGATTCACCTGCTGTTGGTGGAGGGGCGCCCCCAACCATCACAGGCCCCCAAGTCCACGGCGGCTATTGACTTGATCGTCCCAATGGATTGGGGCTTGGAAATCGAGTGAACTACCTCACGTAAACACCTTTCGATCTCTAGGCATGACCTCGCGAGCATGAGTCCCCGCCTCCCTAGACACCGCCATCCTCGCACCTCTTACTCTATTCGTTAAGAGCAAAGGTACCTGCAACGCGCCCTGTCCATGCCAACTTCCAACATTCCGATTTGGCTTGTGTGATGAAGATAACCAAGCTCATATCCCATGTCTATTATAAGCCTCATTATAGTTGTAAGTCTTCCTATAGCTTCAAGCCATATGATAATAGGCTGGGAATACGGCTATAAGAGCTTCTCCCCTCCCCCCTTCCCCGGGCCCGCACCAGCCACACTGTACGTACAGTCTATAATCCTCTGCCGTACATGCTACTATTCCTGATTTCTTCTCAGGTCTCTGGTGCGCGATTCATGGGTTTGGCCAGAAAGGCAACTGTGGGGAGCAAAAACTTCGGCAACTCAAATGGATTGGCTTCATATTCAAAAGCACTTGTCATATTTCCCCTAATTGGGACCTAGATCGCTTGCAATACATGAAATTATGATTGTCGTAATACAAAAAAAAGAGAGAAACAGAAAAAGGGAATATCCAAGAGAATACAGGATAAGAATACACAACATAGACACCGGGGAACTCAAAAAAATGCGAGCACGGCAGGATTTTTTCTCCTTTTCAAACGCCACCATCCCTGCCCTTGGATGTGCATCCATTTACTCAAAGTTGTCCGACCGGTCGACCCAGATGTCTTCAAGCTCGGCAAAGTTCTGGAAGTGCAGCGGGCGATGCTGGTCATCGTAGAAGCGTAACGGGGTATCAATCTTCACATAGATTGGCCGCTTCTCGACACTGCCAAAGGAGCTACCCATGAAGCTGTAGTTCCAAAGGTTGTCCTCCGGTACGAGGAAGTAGCCACGGACGCGGTCACTCAGGAGCAGTTGGCACTTCTCGCCCATGCTAGTAGAGAAGCCTTGGGGCTGGTCGGAACTCATGTCCTTGTTCTCCGCACCCCACTTGTAGCCTTGCGGGGTGAGACCCCATGCGGAAAGAGACACGGAACCGGGGGTGAAGGAAACGGTCATCGTTACAGTCTTTTTGTCCCAAGAGGGATGAGCGTTCATGAGGCGGGCGTGCTGGGTCACATCCGCGGCAGACATGTACGGCGGCTCGTTGCCCGAAACGGTGTGGATCACGCCTAGGGGCTCCAGGCCGTTCAGGTAGTCGTGCTGAGGTAGTTGGTGAGGTAGCTGAACATCCCTTGTGTTGCCAACCTGCGGAACCATGACAATGGTGCGGATCTCCTTGACCTGGTCGTTGTCGGGAGGCGAGCTACCATAAAGGTAACCAGTGACCTGGACCCGCAGATCAGCGATGGTGATGAATCGCTTGAGAATGTTCTTGGGCATGACGTAGGTGAAGCCGTCGTCGCGAATGTCATCAGAAGAGACGTATATGTTGTTAGATCTCGTCCGGAGGTTGGATGTGGCGATGGCCCGAGTACGCCATTCAGTCTTGGAGGCAAAGGACTGCTGCTCATACTGCGAGGTGGTTGTAACAATCATCTCCTCTCCACGAACATTCTGGGTCTTGGTGGTCACAGCGGTGAGCTGCTTGGCTTCCTCCTGCTGCTTCTCGATCTCGGCAGCCTGCTGTCGCTGCAGCGAGGGGGCACTGATCTCCATACCCAGGATGATATCACGCACTTCACTGCTAGTCAAACTCTGTACATTGACATTGTTCTTCTTGCCATAGTCGTTGAGAATCAGGTCACGGAGCTGGACTTCGACCTTGATCCAGTCCTCATCAGAGAGAGACGGCCAGATGTGATGTTCCTGGGTAATCACGCTCTTATCGGGACGAAGGATGATCTTAGCCTTATCGATGTTGACGTGGAGAGCACGAAGAATCAGGACCAAACGAGAGAAGGCAGTGTAAGGCGAGATAGACTTCAACCATTCATCATACAAGTTGAAGAGAACCATCTGAGGCTCGGTGGCGCGCAAAATCATATCTGCGAGCTTCTCAACCTTCATAGCAGCCTGGAAAGGCAGCTGAAGCTCGGAAGCACGGATAGAGATGTTAGGGAAATCCAGCAAGTGAACCTCGAGGGGATCCAAAAGACCCTTGCGAGTGACAATAAGCTGCTTTGGCTGCTCCTCAACCGGCAGAGACCGGATAAGAGCGGCAACTTCTTCAGCCGTCTTCCACTTGGCAAGTTGACCCAGACGCTTCTGACCAGCCCAAACACTAGTGTGAATGATCTTCAAGAACAGCTGACCAGTGCGAGGGTTGAAAATGAAAATGGCGCCGTTGATGGGCTTGGTAGTCAAATTTCCTTCAAAGGTCTTGTGGATGGTAACACGGTAGACATTTGTGTCATCAATGAAAAGCTGGATCTGAGGGCTGAAAAGCTCGGAGTAGTTTTGGGAGTTGAGGAACTCCTGATTGCTCTCCGAGGCGTAGAGTTGAAGACCCTTGCGGATACGTTCACGCAAAACGTAGAGGGCAGGGTTGGCCTTCATGATCTTCGCCATCGCCTGCTGAATCAAAGTCTTAAGACCAGGGAAGAACTGACCATAAGCCGAGTAGAGGTTGTACGCCAGATCAATACCAATCATCAAACCAGTGGCAGAAGGATAGATACTCATGCTGTCGGTAGTGTAGTCGAGATACTTGGCACGGACATAACGCTCGATATCGTGAGAGTCGTAGTCACCATATCTCAGCTGCACATCAACCCAGAACTTGTTGGTTGTGGTGGGCTCGTACACATCCTTGGTATCGAAGCAAAGCGAAGGACGGGTGACATTCCACTTGTTCGTGGCGAAGAGAAGGATATCGGCACAAGAACTGTTCATCTTGTAAGACTTACGCGGGTGGATAGTCTCCTTCTGAACAGCCTCGATACCAAGTTGCTCCAACTCCTGGTCAAACACCTGACACAAGTCCATGACCACAGACTCGTGGATCTTCTGCCACAAGTGGGCACGGAAGATCTGGATTAGGGAGATCTTTAGAGTAGGAATCTTGCCGTGCAAGAAAATACCAGTCAGATCAAGCTGCACCTGGAAACCGACATATACATTGGCGCGGTTGATGGTTGGAGACCACCAAAGAGTAAATCGACGGTTGGGAATTTGGTTCAGACCGGAACGTTGGGCATTTGTGAGCTTCTTGAACTTCATGCTCTCTTCGAAACCACTGGCTCTCTCCTGTTTTGAGTGAGAACATATTAGCATTTCTGACTTGATTGGCTTATAAGAAGGATTGTTCACGTACCCAGAACAGACCTTCCCAGGATGGGAACGCAGTTGCCTTGAACAAGGTATGCTCAAGAATAGTTTCCACACCACCCAATGCTTGGATGACATCTGTGCGGTAGGCATTCAGGTTCCAGAGTTTACCATCGTGACGCTGGCTAGTCCACCAGAAAGGATTGCTCTTCATAAGCTGGTACTGCTTGAACTCGGCGCGGAGACGGAAACCCTTGTCGAAGCTGAGAGTGCTGCGGTCCTTCTGGAACAGAGTGTTGATACGAGGAAGACCACGGTCCCAGCTGTCTTCGAGATCCTCAAGAGTCAGACGACGGTTCTGCTGCTGAGCTTCCATACGCTTCTGAGAATACTCCATCCATACTCGTTGGGAATCGATAAACTCAGCCTCCCAGGGAATGATGTATCGGAAGATGTTGGGAATTAGCGTCTCCTCATCATGCGACATACCCGCCCGGAAGTGGGTGATGCCGGTGTCAGTTTGCTTGGACCAGCGCTTGTCGCTGGTGGGGATGAGGATATGAGAACCTGAGATCATACCGAGACCACCAAGTTCCTTGGGAGTGTAAAAGACTGCCGGAGGGAAACGAGAAGGCATCTTAGAGTTCAGACCAATCTTGACACGGGTCTGGATCTTGGTTTCACATTTGACGATGGTGTCGAGGAGGTTGACGGTCGACACCGCGGCCTCACGGTAGTATGTGAAGAGAGCAATAAGAGCGGTGTTCCACTTGTTGGCAATCTTGGTGAAGGTAGTCGATCCAGAGGACATCAGAATCTGGCGAATACGATTGTTGAACTTCTGAATATCCTCCTCAGTGACCTGGAGGAAAGCATGGGCAGTCCGCTCCTTGGTAGTTTGATCAACAAGAGACCAAACACTGTCCTTGACCGAGAACTCCTCATTCTGGTTCCGGATCTTGGGGAGAATCCGGACCTCGAAGCCGCTCATGGAGAATAGCAAGTTGGGATTATCTTTGCTGTAAACACTAGCGAAAGTGTCGTCCCATTCAATGGTGGTAATAGACCTGGGGAGGCGGTTCTTCATATCCCAGAAGACAGCACGACCGAGGTTGACATCGTGACGCATCAAGCGCATACGGCAATCACGAGGCCAGCACTTCTTATTCTTGTAGCCGATGACATTCTCGAAATTAGGGTCGGGATTCTCAGTCAAAAATCGCTGGATGAGATCTCGAGACTCATCTGCGTTGAAACGGAAGAAGACCCAAATCTTGTCGACGTAACGAGTATAAAGACGGATGGGGTGACGGGTTTCGGTGGCACGATCGCGGAACTGCAAGAAGTCGTTGGGGCTGGCGGGTGGACCGGCCATTTCGCTAGCTCGCTGCAGACCAAGGAGTAGCAGATCAATCATTAAACCATAGTACTGGAACACGAATCCAGAGAACTGAAGACCACGAATCAAACCATAGCTGTTGGTGTGGTTCATGTCCTTGTAGCTGAGCTGGACGTTATTTTTCGAGGTGATGTAGTCCGCCAAGTTGGGATCCATAATAAGACGAAGCATACGGTTCAACAGGGTGAGATCCATCTTCTCGTAAACCTTCGAAAGTTCGGTTTCAATCATCACATTGGTCTCGCCATCAGCGGTCTCCCAAACGTTCGACAGGTTGTTGATACCCTGGGTCCACTTATATGTAAGAAGGGGTGGCACCTCGGAATCAGACGGCTTAATCCAAGCAGGGAACAGGTGGCGCTGCTCAGCCTGGTACCAGAGATATTGATCCAAGTAGGCATCAGTGATTTTCTCGATGGGCTCGATGTCGTAAACAGGGTTGATGTTGTTATAGTTGTCATTCATGTCAATTCCGACTTCCTTAAAAGCTCGCTGAGTCAGGAGAAAACGCTTGATTCTGGCGAGAGTTGTCTGGGGAGAGTCATATGCCTGCTCGATAAGGGCAAGCTCCTCACGCTGGCTCTGGTTCAGTCTACCCTTCACAGAGTAGGATTCGCGAAGACGCTCGAGGGCCAAGATGAGAATCTTGGTATCGTGCTTGTAAGACACACCAGGGAAAGGAATGGGCGAGAACTTGCGAGACTCCAGCCAGTGCACCATGGTGGTATAGATTGCGACCGCCTCCTCGGAGGACACGTAAGGACCATCCTTGAGATAGTTGTGCTGCCGTTCTTGCTCGGACTTCAACCAGAGACGAGTGAGACGACCCAGATTCTTCTTTGCAACTGTCTTGTCGACAGTGGCACCACGGCGAATTCGTTCACGGTTGTAGTGGGCGACCGAAATCCACCAATCAGCCTTGCTCTTGACGTATCGGAGAATGATGTTCTCAATAGGAGCAGGGAGGCCAGGAACCTTCCAAGGGATATTACTCTTCCAGCATCGCCAGGCCTCGGACAAGTGCTGCAAGACAACATTGACCTTGTTCTGCTTAATGCCCTCAGGCATCATGTCCATGAGATCGGCCATAACAGAGGCGCGCAGCTCCAAGTCGAAGTGGGATTCAACACGCTGCTTGGTCACAGTCTTGGCAACACCCTTGCTGTGTCGGCCCTCGAACTGACGAGAAAGCAAGTTTCCAAGCCATCTCTCGAGGAGGGGAATGATACCGCGCATAAAGAATAGCCACACTCGCCAGGCAGGGGCCCAGAAACCACAACCAGGACCCTTACCAACGGGACCAGAGTTGAAACGGTAGTAAATCAAGTGCTTCAAATCCTTGCATGAACGAATCTGGTGCATCAACTTATACTTGTATCGGTACATACCGGTAAGCTGACCAACGTGGTTGAAGGCATACAAGATACCATCGGCCAGCTGGAAAGCATCGATATTGCCCAAACGGTATTGAACTTGGGCGTCGACAATTAACTTAGTCAAACGCAAAATTTCTCTCATAAGATGGAAAGCGTTTCCAAAGCGAGACTTCTTGCGCTCTTTGGTAGTCAAGGTCTTAACGGGCTTCAAGTTGAAGTTATAGTCAAGATGCAAATAGGTCAAGTTCTTTCGGTGAATCAACAAGTTCAGCATATTGAAACCCTGACGACAGACTTGAAGGCCGGCCTCCACCCAGTCAATTGTGGTCTGTTGGAAGAACTTAGTTGTCTTCAAGGTCTTCAACAGATTCTGCTTGTTTTGAGCCTTGGGCTTGCTCTTGTGCAACTCGTTGAGCACGAAAGTCTTGAGCAGCTTCTGATAAGACACTCGAACCTTCACAGGCTGACCCTGAGGGCAGTGCTCAAGATACCACTGCTTGACAAGCGGAACATCCTGAGCACGGACCATCTTTCCAGAGCGCTTGTCGAAAGGGTGAGGGGCCCACCACAGAGCGATGGCAGAGGCGGTATCCTGAGTATAGAGTTCCTCGTCATTGAAGAATGGCTCAACCTCTCCGGGGAGCTCGAAATCATCTTCATTGTTATCGGGGCCGAAGAGCTCGTCCTCGTGGCTGATAGTGATGTTCTTCGGGGCAACGGAACGAGAGGAAATAGGATTAATGACAGGGTCGAAGTAGAAAGCGGGAAGGTTGGGATCCTCGGTGCGAACATAGACCACCTGAGGGTGAGAGTACCAGGCGACCTTTACACTGCGGGGTAGGGTATTATACAAGAAGGGGAAGGTGACACGGTATTCGGTCCGGATGGGGGCGCGGAAGATAATGCGGTCAATGGCGTTGAACTCGCTGAAGTCCTCGTCGTTCGGGTCAATATCCTTGTAGAGAGGCTCGAAACGAGGCCCACCAGGGATAGCAACATTCAAGGCTTTTGCTGTGAAGAAGCTGTTGAGGTCAAACATGTGAAAGTAGTTCTCGTCAACCACGTCGCTGAGCAGCTGATGACTCAGTCGATGTAGGGTTGCCATTTGCGGCAGTGACAAGTTCCAGCTCTTGTAACTCGGTCCATTAACATGGGGAGTATCGAGAAGAGGTCGGTGGTCGTAGAACCATTCGTAGACTGCGGCATCTTCCTCCTCATCGAGCTCCATCTGGATCGGCTCCAGAGGTTCAACATCCTCGATATTCTCTGACCACGAAAGCGGCGGCTCTTCGTCATCGAACGGAGGGAAACGCATCCGCTTGAAGTGTCGACGATCACTCTTCTCACGACGCATGCACATCCACATGGTAGCCCACTGCGCATGGAAGACAGGTTCGATAACGCGAGGAGTCTCGTTCACAATTGTCAAACATCCATTGACGTGATACAATACCTTGACTTCTCTTGCTGATTCCCAAGGCATTGGCATGTTCTCCAGCAGCTTGAGGACAGCATGGGGCATAAACTTCAACGCGCCAAGATAGCTACGCTTCTCGTTGGTGAATTTCTTCTGAGAAACATCGCCAATATCCTTCACAATTTTTCGCAAATGCTCAGGTGGCATGTCCGCCTTCTGAGTCTCAACGAATCCACCCTTCCGCTTCTCACCAAAGCGACTGCGCTGTGTACGCAACCACTCATTCTTCTTCTGCGCAAATTTGGCGACGTTCGGGTCGGCGGGCGGTTGGTAGCCAGGAGGCGGCGGCGCCAGCGGCATCGATGGAGGAGCAGCACCCCATCCCGGAGGAGGAGGTGGCGGCGGAGGCAACGATGCCATCTTGAAGGTGTTGATGGTGGTTTGATGGAGGTGTACACCCACCCTCCTTTAGACGTGAGTTTTGCTCAGAGTCGCGTCCACGTCACGTCAAAAACCATCGACTCGGGGCGTGATTTTCGGGAAGGCGACAAACGACGCTTATCGCAAGCGTATAGAGAGAGCTGGCACCAGGCGGGACGATGGAAAAGAGCACCAACACCCGATGATCCTCTTCTGGATGAAACTTGCTCCTTTCGATCGAAGTTTGAGACGGCGGCTCCTGGATTGCGCTAGTCCCAAACGGGGTTAGTGCGGCCTCGCCAAATGTGCGCTAGAGCGAAACCCACACAAACCCGTCCGCCTCGACATTTCACCGTTCACAACCCGACGACGACACCCGCCTTTCTTGACCAGCGCAGAGGTTCAAGCTCGACAAAATGGCGAACAACAGACTGCAATACGTGAGTTCTTTGCCGACGATGAATTGTCTCTATTAGCAACGACTGACTCTGTTTTTTTTTCCTGACTACAGCGCCGCCGGAACCCGTACGTTGAAAAAATATTCCCTGCCTCGAATAATTCCCCTTTCACATCAGAGTCGACATAAGATGCGATCGAGATTGATGAGCGGCATTATACAATGACTTCGAACGACGTATTGACGAATTTTCTCGCACGATAGGTACAACACGCGGTCCAACAAGGTTCGCATCATCAAGACCCCCGGTGGTGAGCTCCGGTACCTTCACCTGAAGAAGAAGGGCACTGCTCCCAAGTGCGGTGACTGCGGCATCAAGCTCCCCGGTGTGAGTGCTCCCTGATTGAATTTTTTTCTCTTCTACTCGGAATCGTGTGCGTTGTGTGTGGTCGGGGCAGTCGCAAGTGGACCGGGGATGTGGCTTCGAAAAAATCTGTTCCGGATGGATTGAAGTGTCTACGGGCTGAGACCGAAACTGACACAACGCAATGGCCGAAATTTTCTACAATCATGGTCGCAAAACTCAAGTGGCTGACAACAACCACCATACAGGTCCCCGCTCTCCGCCCCCGCGAGTATGCTCAGATCTCCCGCCCCAAGAAGAACGTCAGCCGTGCCTATGGTGGCTCCCGCTGCGCTGGTTGCGTCAAGGACCGCATCGTCCGCGCTTTCCTGATTGAGGAGCAGAAGATCGTCAAGAAGGTCCTCAAGGAGTCCCAGGAGAAGGCCGCTGGCAAGCGCTAAGCAAAGTCTGTTTCGTCGGTGTTGGTCTTTTTGGGGAAGCGAACGTTACGGAAAAATGGGAATGGTTCTCTTAGAATCTAAAAAAAGGATGAACAGGAACCGCTAGCACACGATTCCATGATCTGGGACGTGGCTAAGCAAATGAAACCCAATTTTATTACCTTCACGAGTGATTCCCACAAAATCTGTTCAAGTTGGTCTCCATTGCCATGTCCGAGGATTGTCTTTTTTCTTGCTCCGCGGTTAGACTTCCCCCATTCCCCCATGACCAGCAACACGGTTCCGCACTCATCATTGGGACCCTGAATGCTGTGGTCTACAGAGACCCGCTTGTTACGGCTCCTCAAGGGCCTTCCTATAGTCCAGTGCCGGTAGAACGTAGTGAAGGGTCTTGAGGGCATCTTGATAAATCATGTAATACGCCCTCTGCGTAGAACATCCCTCCCCGATACTACAAACCCTACAATCCCTATTCTCGCCTTCACACCGCAGGCTTCTTGGGGCATTGCGAACCCCCCTCGGGCTCTAGAAACCCTAGGCAATTGCCCTCACCGCAGCTTCTCGCACCCCCAATCTCGCATATGCGTATTCTTGCGAGTTCAACAGTCTAGACCTCGCTCCGGTGATCTACGATCCGTCGCATTGCTTCCCAGAAGTCCGCTGTCGCCGCCTCGCGAAGCACAGAAAGCCACGTAACAGCGCCCATCACGACGCAGCCCGTACAAAATCCCGGTCCCAAGTGTCAACAATCAGCCCAGCAAGGAAACAGGGACAATTTTTTTTTTTTTTTTATCGCCAGCCCGCTGCAGTGTCGAGGTTCCGACGTCACGCAGCTGGATAATGCTGCTGCCCGGGGCTTAAGAGAAAGAGCGGAGTGGAGGGGTATATCGGCATCCTACTATTGACCAGGGAGCACATTGTCAGCCACGACCATGAATCATTCACGTTGTCCGGGGTTGTGTTTCCGACGTCGGTCTCGGTAGATTGGGATCCGGGCTGGGGCGCTGCAGCGAGCTAGGTGGCTTTTGGATTATACGGGTAGGAGAAGGGACTTGACAGCATTCTTGGGAAGATGGGTGTAAATTCTCGGGACTGGAATTGCTTGCTTCGCTGTCTATCTGGGTTCTCGCAGATACTCGACCGATGGGGGAATGAAGTCGGGGTTGGCTTCCAGGGTGTATGTAAGCGATCCGCCGTGACTGTTTCAGCTGCACATACCTGGCGCCGAATGATGTCTCCTTGCCACGCTAGAAAATGGGGTATCTACGATCATGTCGATCTCAATCAATGTTCCGTGTTCTGTCCGAAATTTGAGATCTGCAGGTCGCTTCAATAGAAGAATTTAGCCGATGCTGTGGATTCTTCCTTCTAGGTTGGGATATAAATTTTCGCACGGGTGGCCGCAGGTATCCACTAGGAGATCGGTGGCATCCCAGAAGAATGTCAGAGAATCGGATCTGGAGATCTCATCTATCACCTAGGTAGGCCTGGCCTAAATCACTCTAGTTCTATTGTACCCGTGGGCTTCAAAGGGGTGGGGACATGCTGTCAAGGGCGGATGCATGTATATATTTTGCCAGAGAAGCGGGGGCTAACAGGGCATCCCCTACTTCAAACCTTCGGCGTTAATAAAATGCCGTCCCTCATGCACAAGAATTTCACAGACACAATGTGACAGCTGCCTTAGCCTGCTTTATCCTGGTCTTCAGGGCATCCTGGTTGGGTAGCAGCACCAGCTTGACCGCACCGGTACTTTTGTTCCTGTGGCTGCAGCTGTCATTCTAGAGACCGACAAGAAGGAGGGCTGCAGGTGGCGGGAACGCAGACGACAGAAACCAGAAAAAAAGAAATCATGATTCAAACCGAGAAGAGCATCCACCAGAAAGGAACGACCATGCGGTTCTGTCAGGTCGAGCTCGAGGCTCCAGCGCGGTCTATTTTCACTGTCAAGGTTAGATGACGGCATATCTGCCCTTGCGACTCCAGATATGGTCTTCCTGGACACAAAGACCGGAACTAATTCCCTTCCAGATAAAGGCCATTGTCTTTGTACGACACTCAACCACATTGCGACACGACCTTTACGACGCGAAGGAGGCAAAAGGGCAGAGAAATCTGTACCACGTCCTCCCCTAGCTCCTCTTCCAGAGCCTCGTAAGATCCTGGTGTCGAGTACCAGCGTCTACCAATGACAAGCGATCCCTTGACTTCCACCCGACTATTAGTGCCTTACACCCGCCCCCCAACCCTTCCGGGTTGTGGGTGCGCCACGTCAGACTGCCAAACCACATGAGACTGCCATTTTTTTCTACCACCCTATTTTTTGCTTCCCTATCCAACACCACCATCTAAATATGCCTAAATTTGATGAATCTCGTATGGCTGAGGCCTGCCTAGCAGCATCACGCGTTGCGAAGCCAAATATCGCGCGTTTAGCACGTGAATTTGGTGTTCCTAGGCGTACACTGCACGACCGTGTTAAAAAGAAAACAGTATCTAATACTGCTAAACGCAGTGCTAGGAACGCTCTAGAAGCCTATCAAGAAGAGGCTTTGATTCGCTGGATTCAATATATGAACGATTGCTATATGCCTATCACTCCTAAGATACTAGAAGCGTGGGCGAATCGTGTATGCCAACGTGTCGGCAAGCCGCCGATTAGCAAGATGTGGGCGTATCGCTTTATTAATAGGCTTCCTAAACATCTTCAATTAGGGCCTACTAAGCAGTATACGAAGGAGTCAAAGCGAATTCTAGCAGAGGATCCAGCAGCACTACAGCATTGGTACGATCTACTAGCCCAAACGATCAAGAAGACTATACCACCACGCTTAGTCTATAACTTTGATGAATGCGGCTTTCAACCAGGCGAAGGAAGATCTAGAAACGTTATATCTACTACTACTACTACTACTACTACTACTACTACTACTACTAGTAGGAAGGTAGTAGATCTTCCTCAGCCAGACCAAGGCGAAAATATCACGTCTATCGAGTGTATCGCTGCCGACGGGTGGCAGATAGAGCCTTGGTTTATTTTCAAAGGCAACGGGATCTTTATAGAATCTTGGTTTAATCAAACAGACGACCTACCACCAAGAACTACTATCACTACATCGCCTAACGGTTGGATAACCGACGATATAGCAGTTCAATGGCTTCGATTCTTTATAGAATCAACATGCGACCGTACGAAATCGGGTGAAAAACGTATCCTAATATTCGACGGCCACGGTTCGCATCTTACATTCGAATTCCTACACCTTTGCGAAGAGAACGATATCCTACCAATAGGATTCCTACTACATACTACACATCTTTGCCAGCCGCTTGACGGTAAGCTGTTTCTAAGCTATAAGCAACACTTCCGCTTAGCGAATAACGATCACGCGTTTTGGGGTGGTAGCCCTATCGGAAGATCAGAGTTCCTTCGAATAATCGGTGATATTCGAAACCGCGCATTTAACCAGCGAATCATTCGGGAATCGTTTAAAGATCGTGGGATATATCCAGTCGATAGTAGCAAGGTTATTAATAGCCTTCCTATCCAAGAGTGTCAAGATCTTATAGCGCCAGATCTACAACTATATCATTCAACGCTTCGTTCAACACCTTCACCACCACCTATATCTTCTTCTAGTATCGACCAATCGCCGCCTAGATCTATACAGGATCTAGAAAAGAATCAAAGGAAGATTGCTAGATATCAAGAGGATCTTACACCAAGGCAGCAACGTAATCTTGATCGTGTGTTTTATCATAACAAGATTGCTATAGAGAACCTAAATCTAGCGAACGA